TTGTTTAATTAATTGTTTTATTTTAGGATTTAATTGTTTTAAGTGAAATTAAATTTAATTGGATTCGTTAAAATTATATTGAATTAGTTTCAGTAGGTTGTAACGTGACTTTAGTTTGTGGGGTTTATAGTTATCATAGGCAACCGACAGTGTACAACCTAGGTTTGTCTATGGGCCGTATTATACATGGATTAGGGTTTAAAGTTTAAGGTTATAAATAGGCTTATACGGGGGTTTAGGGTTGAAGGAAAAATAAAATACAACCGTGGGTTTTCTGTGGAGGCATAGAGGAAACAAAGAGGGAGAGAGCACACAGAGGTTCACCGGAGAGCTTGGGAAGAACCGTCGGTGTAAGGCAAGTTTTATATCTAACTCAATCCCTTGGGTTTCGTGTTCTTTGCATCACTAATTCAGTTCCAGGAAGTAATAACATTAAACTAATATGGTTGCACAATTAGTTGTTTCAAAACAGTATATTTCATGCTTGTGTTTTTCTTCTATCTGTAAACTGTTTTTGTTTGTTCTTGTTTTGGGTGAGTTCGGATTAACAAAGAATGAATTTAAATAACTTTAGAGCACCTTGGGGCTTAGTTTTAATCAGTAGTGGAGTTGGTTTAGAAGAACAAAGCGGTTAAATACTGCCAGAATGGAAGGAGACGACGCACGGAAGAATAACTGGGTCACCAAAACGCAGAGCAGGCTCCACATAAAGTGGAGCCGGCTTTAGGTTTAAGTGGAGGCGGCTCCACCATTATTTGGAGGCGGCTCCACTTTGTGTGGAGCCGGCTCCTCCCAGTTTTTCATTTTTTTTTATTATTTTGTTTTCTGCGATCCTAGGCTACTGTACATGGGTATTTGAAATTTCCAGAATGTTTTGGAAGTGGTTCTAGGGGAAATTAGTGATGTTTAAACTCTTGGTAAACTTGCAGGAAGCATGGAAATTCATAATTTATCATAAGAGGCTAAATAGGGATACAGTCTGAAACTTATTAGGGAAGTTTTCAGGATTATTTTAAATGGGGATGATCAGAATTTCTTAGCTTTGAATAAGCAGTTTTAACTTGGAATCTTTATGTTTTAAATCATGTAACAATGATCTGAGATTAAGCATATCAATTAATATAAATTCGGTTAATGCTTAAGGTTAAATTAGTTGATATTTTTCAAAGAATTATGTAGATCAACTTATGGGATGTTGTGGAGTGGTTATTAGTAAGCATGTTAATTCTGTTCTAATTATTACTGTGCTTATTGTGGATTACAGAATGGTTACATTTATTCTCGGATATTTAATTTTTTTTGAGTTTTAAGTACTGGATGTATTGAAACAAGCATGCTAATTATAGATTCTTGTTATGGCCTATATTTGGATAGGTTGATATTTATATGTATTAATGTCAATGATATTACCAATAATTGGATGGATGGTGTATACTTGTTATGGATTGGTTAATTAGTTGATATTGAAATGGTTACTATCTTATACATTATCAATATTGGATGGATGGATTGTATGCACCGGTATGGGACAGTGTCATACTAGGGGGATTAGCTCAAAAATGCTAAGTCCTAACTACTCTGGATTAAGGAATGGATTAACTAAAAGTTAATCCTATTTTATTTGTAGTGTCAAGGCAACATATAGTTGAGCGGCACTACTGTGGATTTTGGAATGGAATTTAATTATATATTTTATGGTGCCACGATGTGAGCCTGAGTCTCAGAGTCGTTGGTTAGGGAGCATATATGCATGGGGATGCATAGCTGGCTACGATGGTTGGAGGTGTACCCTGTTTAGGTCAGGTACACATGCCTACTTTGTGTGCGTTTTAGCATGTTACCTCTACTCAAGTTGAGACCGGCCTGTAGGCCAGTGAGAGTCCTTTAGTGTGATTATATATATATATCTACGGACTATTTAGTTATTGTTGGACTGGTTAGGATGTACATGCATATCGGGCCTCTGTTTGGGTTGTAGTAGTATAGAACTTGCGCGTGGGCCTGACCCACTTCTGTTTTTCAGGTACACGACAGTTTCAGACTTAGACGTGTTCATGCTGAGCAGAGGTTTCTATTAACTCTACCGACGATGTAGGATTTCTCTTCGTAGCTTACTTCTGGATATTTTTTCAGTTACTTATTTTATTACTGTTTGGATTATTATTAGGGGTCCTCTAGAGATAGATTCCCAAGTTGTACCCTCGGAGGTTTTGGAATTTGTTTATTCAAATTTTAAGTATTTAACTGTTAAGGATTGTCTTTTAGATTTCTTTCAACTATTAAAATTTTTTAATTCTTATTTCGTTTAGTAATCTGTGTTCGTTATAACATATTAATTGTTTGATATCCCTTGGGTTTGGGCCTAGGCCTGATCAACCCGTGTTTCGGATCCGAGGGGTATCACAGCTTCTTTCTTTAATGACAAGTGCAATTCTTTTCCATTCTTCAAAGATCGAGCAAGCAGTTCTTTCTCTTGGGTTTGAGAAGCACAATGGTTAAGGGTTTGAGTAGACTCGGCATAAGCAGTCATCATAGAAGGGACTTGAAGTTGGAAGTTTTTAAAGAGAGCTTGGTCACCTAAAGAGAATCTTGGGTAACTACTCAAGAAGGACAAGGTTTCAGTTAACTCATTTTTGAATGAAGGGGCTAGAGACAAGTTTTGTTGCACCATTTGGGACAGGATTTGGATGGCTTTTGTAACTTCTGGGGGTGTGTCAGAGGTTTGTTCAAATGGAATTTCAGGAAGTTCAAGATCAGGTGAGTCAAAGACAGAATCAAATAACAAGTCAAGGGTTGCAAAGGGAGAGCTTAGGTTGGTACTGACAGAATTGGTTGGAATAGCCGAGCCTTGTTGTACCTGAAATATGCCATAGCTATAATAAGTTTACAAGAACAGGTTATAAAAGAAATGTATATATACATATATCATTACTTACTTCATCAGAATCCCCAACCTACTCATGAATTGATGTTACAGCCAAGGGTGGAGAAGGCACAGGGGACCATTGTTTCTCACTAACTGATAACTCGATTTTTTCTTCTTCTCCAGCATGGTCTGTAGAAATTTCTTGAATTGATTTTTGTTCTGAAGAGAGTGGAGTTTCCTGAAAACAATGCTGACTTAGTTATATTATAAGGAGAAAAAGGTAATATACGAGGTCAGGCAAAAAAGAGATTACACTGGGAGAGGCAGCAGCGGGTTTCCTTTTCTTGGATATAACTTCTTAGTCATCCTCATCATCATCATCAATCAATTCGAAGTGTCTTTTGGCTCATGACTTTTTAGGTTTTTTTCCCACCGTTTTCTTTCTTGTTGTTTTCTGGACAAAAAGTGTTAGCAAGAGAAGGGGTACGCCTCAAAAGAATAAATATATGGTTTAGTTATGGGTGTTACCTTAGTAACCGAGGATGGAGGTATGCTTTGAAGAGGGACATAAAAATCGACTTAAGTTTCTTTAGATTTGGTGGATTTTATCTGGGGCATTGGAATGAGTGCCTGGATTTATGATTAGTGAGCATATAAACCAGATAGAAGTTCTATGGAAAAGATGAGGATATATAAAACTTACTTTGCCGAGAGCGAGATCTGGTCCTACCTGCAGGAGCTGTGGGAGGAGGACGAGTTGGTGCTGTATTTGTTATTTTCTCTGGTTCAGGAGCAATAGAGAGGGTTATGGGTTCAATGGAATCCAAACCTTGAAAGTTAAGGGAAATGAACTTATAGGAGCCAAGGAGAGTGCACACGAGCTGACTGGAATCCACGGTCATGGTAAAAGTGATGTAGGATGTCCACCAATCTTCAAACTTTGGGTCAGTACTTGGTTCTTCAAGGAAGGGTTTATACTGAAACCCTTGAAGAAGTTGAGTGAATCGATTAGACACATCTTGAACTTGTTCACTGTTGGAAAGCTTCACTCGGCGATGATAGTTCTTGTTGTAAGAAAAATGGGGAGGTAATGGGATCATCTGAGTCAATCCAAATTGCCGAGCTAACTGTGCTGGGTTATAAAACTCAACCTCAGTTCGGCTCTTGGGCAAATTGGGAGCAACGGTATTACAAGGTATATCTCCTGCGACTAAGAAGTGGCCCCATGAAGTGATATAAAGGTCAATCTGTTCAGGAGAAGACTCGGCAGTAGGGGGAAACAACCAAGATGGAGCTAGTTGAAATTTGGAAAAGGAAGGAATTGGGATTGAGTCCTGATCTTGCACTAATGATAGAAGAATTGAAAATAGTTATTAAAGGAATGGTCTTTGGGTTTGACTCTAGCATATCCAAATGGTAGCAAAGGATCATTTGGAGCAGGCCGACTGGGAAAGGATAACTCAGGGAAATATGCATGTAGCCAGAACTGATATAGCCAGAATGGACCTCCAGATCTTGCAAAGTTGGAAGTAATAAGGTCGTATAAGCCTCTATACAAGGACGCTAACAGGAATGGAGCTAAAGCCATGGGTTTCCCTTTGGATAATGCGATAGCCAATTGGGTAAGGTCCTTGGTAATCTGGATAGCAGGAGCACACAACAAATATCTACACAGCCACATTAGTAAAAATCCTATGTGTTCTTGTTCATCTACGTCAGTCCCTTCTTCTCCTAACTTTTCTTTCAAGAATGGTCCATGTGGTTGCACAAAAGGGTTTAGCCCCTTTTTGTTTTGGGAAGTAAAATGAGGTTTCTTCATCCTGGAGGAGATAATTGATTTCATCCCCTCCAGGTTTTAAACCTGTTAGAAAGCAAACATACCACAGGTTCGTACTTGTTTACATCTCCTTTCTAAGCCGCAGGTTTTACCAAGTCAATCGTACTTGTTTGAATTGGATGACGTTGTGTCACTGAACTATTGATAAAAAATTAGATCGCGGTTAAGCTGGTTGTTATACACAAAAGCAAAAAAGTGTGTAGCGATAAGTGAAATGCTAAATCTATTGTATTAAATTGGATTGTTAAACAACACTTTTGTCATGTAATGTTCTTATATAAGAGTGAATAGAGACCTAACTACGTGCTTATCTGGATTAAAAACTAGATCGCGGCTAAGCAGGTCTTGAAATCGAGTTATACACAAAAGCAGAAAGTGTTTATTGATATCCTTTATTAGGATAAGTGCTAAATCTATTGTACTAAATTGGAATGTTAAACAACACCTTAACTGCATCGAATCTCCTTGAATCAAATTACATTCAATATGATGTTGAGTGATTTAGTTTCACCCCAAAAATCAGTACTGCCAGTAGGATGTTAAAATTCCTTCACTAATTTCTCCCCTTTTGCACTAGTTCAATCAAAATCCTTTGCTTTTCATTTCTTTTCCTTCTTATTCTATCTTGAACGAATTGACAATTGTTTTTATTGCCACTTTGGCTGAGGAAACTCAAGAAAGCATAGAATAATTCAAAACCACGATGTGTGAATTTTTCTCAATCATCAATGGAGGGACGTGTATTGTTTGGCAATCTCCGGCCACGTACAAATGAACTGAACAGATGCAAAGCTCTTGACGGTTGTGCATACGGTACCATATGAGCAGCACCCCTTACGGTGGCAAAAGTCAACAAATTTCCATACTCAGTAGCCCAACCTCCTACCTATTAACAAGACAAATATATAAATGAAATTTTCATCAGCGTCACGAAGTTCACATCAAATGTGGTATGAAAGTGATTGAGAAATGGCAGTGCATAAGTACCTGCCCTTTGTGAAACCAAGCACCATATGGGACAGTTATCTGGAAATGTAGATCTTGAGCCAATTCACGGATGAGTGACCGCGAACCAAGCAAAGGGACAACAGAATCTTGATCCCCACTGCAGTTGTGTAAATTTAAACAATTACATTACTAAATAGATTATGCTATATATATATATATATTGTATTATTCAAAATGATACCTGAAAACCCAAACAGGAATGTGATTTTCGACTATCCTTTTAAGCAAGGGCAGAATGTTGATATTGCCATCAGTATCACTGTAATTTAGATTGCTGTCCAATAGAAGAGAGGTGAAAATCAAGATATGGAAGTTGTAGTAGTTTTAATAATATACAAACAGCGTGATTGGTAAGCCTAAGTTTGATCTGTGGCCACTAGACAACAAAGATTTTGGTGAATGTGTTGAATGAAAATTAGATAGATCATTTAAATGCAGAAATACAAGCAATTTGAAGTTGAATTTAACTATATTTTCACTTCCACAAGAGATGGGAAACTATTTCTTGGATAGAACTATTGCAAGAATGAGTAGTCATTCTTTTTAGTTGAAAGCTTATCGAGAAATTGATTTCTACAATAATTGTCTATCATCGGTGAGTGGGAACCTCCTTACCACTATCGATGTCACACAATGATAGAATGATAAGTGTTCATTTTGAATTTAAAATATATATAAGAAAAAATATTTTAAAAATATCTTAATTTTTCCGCTCTTATATTTTAAATTCAAAATGAACATGTATCATTCTATCATTGTGTCACATTGGTGATGAGAAGGAGATTCCCACTCACGGTGAGTAGGCAAGATTTGTTCTTTGATAGAAATTACTCACCCACTGCACATGGACCAGCCGTATGGTAAATTGGTACGATTTGCATGAAGAGCCTTTTGAACCTCAGGAAGATTAAAATAGAAGCGCCTTTCATAGGTCATGCACACATCAATTCCGACACTAATCTTAGTAGCCTGCAACCATCGGATTCTATCAAACAAATACTTCAAAAATAGTGCAAGAATCGGTTGGATGGAGGGGGAAATAGTTACCATTTTCCGCATTCGCAGTTCTTGCTCGACTATTGATGGATAACAAACATCAAGGATTACGTCATAATTGTTTATATATTCACCAACAATGTTGTTTGCGTTGGACATAGCTTGGTTGCAGGAATCCGATAAGTTATGTGGACTAGCATAGGTATAATCATCAAAATCACAGTCATTCATGAGGGCAAGGCCAATTTCATCAGAAATCATTCCATGTGACCAGAAGAATTCGAATGTTGCCTTAGCATCCCGATCAAGTTTGAGAAGGGGATTCCCAATCTGATCAGAAGAAGTAATAGAAACGATTGAAGAAAATGTATGAACAACCAATACTTAACTAAAAACAATTCAAAAACAACAGACGAGAACTTTATAGCATGTTAAGAAGGGCATTCAGTATGAGTATCAGGTTCTTACAGCAACTCCTTTGATGTTGAACTTGAAACCTTTGGAATGTGCATTATGGTCTAGAAGAACAATAGCCAATTGTGGTATATAATGCCCTATAAAAGAACAAGAATGCAATTATCAAACTATAATAAATAGGTACTTCTGGAGAGGAAAATTAGAAGGCAAGTAGCCTATAGTTGCTCTAGTGCTGATCACAATCATACAATGTGGGACATACATTTTGCTACTTTATTCATGCAAGATAAAATGTTAACTATTTCATATGATGTGAACATTTTAAAGAAGTCATATAATTGGCAAACTAAATTTTCCTGAGTCAATATTCTGTAATTTTGCGATAATTAATGAAGAATCATCATAAATTGAGCTTGATGACAAGCAAAGAGCCAAAAGAAGCTGGTATGTTCAATTTTTTTTGTGGAAGATGGCATTCCAAAACCTTTTAAGGATATGCCAGTTTCATCATATTGAGGATTGAAGAAATGCAAAATCTTAATCAAAGAATTAACGACATTTTTGTACTTCAAAAAACAGTTAAAATTTTCAGGATCACTTTTCCCAAAAACCAAACAGAACATCAAAGGATATTACTTCCTCAAAATTTACATTTAAGAAAACGAAAGGTGAGGAACCAGGATCGAAACTTTAATATTTCTACCTGCATAGCTTTCTCCTGTAAGAAACAAATCTCTGGACTTGAATGTGGGAAACTTCTCATACCAATTTAGTAAGAACATGTGCATATCCATGGCTGCCAAAAACAAGAAAGTGAGCTTCAAAACTCCCATCAATTTATCATCTAAACACTGAGATTAAAACTTCAAATTCATTAATAAAATAACCAAGCTCGGTAATGGCCTTATGGCTATTCCCTCACCAGTGGATTCGTCACCACAAGTATAATCTGAAGTCCGGTTCGAGTATGACCATCCTACACCTGCTGGAGACTCAATGAAAAGAAGATTGGATGCTACAAAGGATAAGAACAAGAAAGACGATTAGTAATGGGGAATGTAACTTATAATGAATATGGTATAATCCGAAACAGCATTATATGTAATATACCTTTATTCCATGATTTCGTGTTTCTTCGAAGGCCTCTGCCATCTCCTCTAGGGAAGAAAGGACCCAACTCTGTAAAGGCACCCCCGCCAATTGAGGAGCAACCCGGGCCTGCATACAAAAAGTTGCATTATAATTTTGCCTAATTTGAAAGCCTCAAGCTATTAGAAGATCAATATGAAACTTCAAAATCCCCTACCTAACAAATTTCCTAGAGAAATTTTGTCCATGGAAAGGAAACATTTCTAGGAGGACCAAATTGATGTCAAAGTTCAAAGAAAGACAAAACTTCCATTTAATATATCATTGCTTGAATAGCTGTGATGAACATTCCTTTGTAGGTCTCAACATCCGAAAAAGGAAATGATTGAAAATCTGACTGTGGCTAAAAATAAAATAAAAATAAAAAAGAGTCTAACTATGACAAAAGATCATTATTAAGTGTTGCTTTGCATTATTGTCAACAAGTTTCAGAATGCAACAAAACTTTATCTTAAATTTTATAATTAACATTTTCTGAATCTTGTATGTTGTTGAGCTTTGATTGAAAAGAGGACAAAGATGGTTTTTTTTTTTTTTTTTTTTTTTTTTGGATGGTTTACATAACTGAATATAGCAGAAACATGATTGAAAAATCAAAACAGAAAGATAATATAAACCCAAACTCAAATTTTCTTACAGAATAGTAGAAGAAAAGAAAGAAGAATATATTAAATTATAAATAAAAATTAAATAAAAAGAAAAAGAAGGCACAACACCCATAACCAAAAGAATAACAATGCCTAAAATGCTCAATTGAAGACATAACTCACTAACTAGACAAAACACTCCACATAAAAATCAGAACCCACTTATAAAACATGAAAAAAATTCAGAATTAGTACTATCTATATGATATAAACATGTATATATTTATTTATATATATATAAATACAGAGACAGAGAGCCATCATAAGTACATTTGCCTACCCATAACCAAGAACAATGGCTAAATCCTCAACGTAAGACAAAACTCACTAACTAGACAAAACAGTCCACATAAAAATTAGAACCCACTTGCAAAAACATGAAAAAAAATTCAAAATTAGTACTCTCAGTATGATGTACATACACATATACATATACATATACATATATAGAGAGAGAGAGCCATTCCATGTTAAACCAACCTCCATTGAGCCAGAGAGTGAGGGGCTTATGATCAGGGTCGTCCTCAGCTTCAACAAAGTAGTAAAACAAACTCCTCCCAGCCTTCAAATCCACATCAACATACCCAGCATACTGCTTGAACCCAACCTGTGGCTGTCCAGGCAAGCTCACCACTAGATCCTCCAATGGGTACCCATTGATCACACCCAATAACAACCCCACAACACTCAACCCACAAAACCACCAGATACCCATCTCACCAAATCCAACAAATCTCACACAAAACCCACAACTTTATCCAATCTCTCAACTCCTTTTTTCAGAATTTTCCTTATCTATACAGATATAGATATAAATATATGTGCCCAAAAAGAAAAAATTGTAGCAAATAAAGAATTACTACTATAATGAATTTTGTTTGTTAAGGTCACGTGAGTTCTCAAGATCTAAATTCTATCAGAACTTGTGATATATATATATATATATAGAAAGAGAGAGTACATATAGAAAGAGAGAGAGAATAGAGACGTTAGGAAGTAGGAAGTTGCAGGTGTGTGCTGGGGGAGTAATGTCGTGGTCGAATCGGTTGCTTTTGCAAATTTATTGTTCGTTTTGAAAAATGGTATTTTATGCGAAATTACAGGTATGCATAAATGGAATTAAATGGAGTTCATTTTTTTTGAATTCCAAATGTGCTCTTTTTAAATTTTAAAAGAACTTTTTTTAACTAGTACGTAGAAAAGTAGGGATTTTTTCGTTATTTAACTGATTTAAATATTTTACTTCAATATATTTTCTATGCATTCGATTAATTTACATGTTGTAACTATATATATATATATATATATACAGTATATATATTTTTTGGTTGTAAATTTGTGATTGGTATGTAGTTAGTTGTTTATCATTACTTTTAGAGTTATATAGAGACGTTGGAAGCCGCAATAAGTTGCGGTACTGCCGCACGGGGGTTGCTTTAGGTGTGGTAGGACTAGGGGTAATGACTGTAAACCCACCTTGGCATCTCCAAAGCTGCTAAAGTCTGCACTCAGTCAAAAAGTCAAACCAAAAAAAAAAAAAAACACAAAGGAGTAAATAAAATCCACTAGGCTAATAAATTGACCAAAAATAAATACTTCCATCTCGTCTCACAAAAATATGTCTATATTTTTTTTTTTTTTTCTATGTGCTAAAATAATTGTCTCAATTCAAAATTTAATGTACTATTATTTTTAATATTCTTAATTTGTCTTCTTTATAAAAGCACGTGATACTACTATAAAATGGTATAGTTAAAAATTTATTTTCTACCACTATTTAAAAAAAAAAAGAAAATTAAAAACTACACACTTAAAATGTTATATTTCCAAAAAGGGATTTTATTATTATTATTATTGTTATTTTATTTTTATGTGACAGGGTAGTAAATAACTTGTCGAAAGAGGAGAAAATTTTGGTTGTGCGCTCGTTACACCATGCAATGGGCACATTCAATCCTACTGTATAATACACGCAATAGTGAACGGTCGCAACTAACTTTCTCTCCAAAAAGTGTGTGGCATAAATTATCTAATTAAATCTAAGATTTTGACTAGAGGCTCTCTCAATATCTCAATTTGGTAAAAATTATTTTATGTAAAACTAAATGCCATGCACCCCTAAAGTGTAATAGATTAAAAAAATATTAAGTTACCAAAAACAATGTAATAAATTATCTAATAATTTTTTTTTTTTTTTTTCTAGTGATATTTTTTTTATCTTTTTAAATGAAAATTCGAAAGTACAGAATAAAAAAATGAAAAGAAAAGAAAAGAAAATATAACTAGAGTATTAATAAAAATCTCCCACTCTTATGTGTGTTTTAGTACTCTCCTACATAACCTACAATCACATTTTGTAATATATCATTATATATTTGAATATGTAATTACAAAAATTAATGCTTGAAGAGAGCTCCTCACCATCACCTCCCTATTTTAACTAATAAATTAAAAGATGCATTGAATGATTTATTTGAATTTTTATTATATATGAAAAGCTCGTAACTCTTTTTACAAAGAAGCTATCTCAAAGGTATTACTCTTCAGAGAATTAGAAATGATCTGGGAATATTTTAGGCTTGCTATGTTCATTTTAACTTTTAAATATTTCTTTTTTTCCTTTTCTTATTAAAAATCACGCATCCACTTTGTTCTCATGAAAACTTGAGTTTTTATTTTTATTTTTTTATCTTTTACTCTAAAAGTAAAAAAATAAAAATAATTAGATTACCACTCTAAATTAAATATTGTTCATTTTTTAATTTTTTCCTATGAAGTTTAATATGCCATGTAGTTAATATAAATTGGTCGTAGTTGTGTGAACACCAATTAGAATATACTAGCCGTCAATGGAGTATATAATATGTATATGTACGTATATTGCTGAGCCTCCATGATATATAAGAAGATTGATTATATAATTTATTTACGAATATATATATATATATTTTTATTTCTCTTTGTAGGTTATTGATTGGATAACTATTATTCCTCAATATATGGACAATCCCATATGCTCATCTATACCTTTGTTTGGTACATAGGTGGAAAGGACAAACCAAGCAAATACAACTTTTTTATTTTATTATTATTTTTTTGTCTCTTAATCAATATTAAGAGTTAAATGCTAGAAGTCATCCACTTTAGACAAATGATCTAGAGCCGGGCACGTAATTGGAATTAATAAATTTGAGAAATGGAATTCAGAAAATTAAAATAATTTTATTTTATTTTATTTATTTATTTATTTTTTTAATTTTATCAATTTCAATTTCAAGCCACCAAACATAGTTTTATTGTATTTTAAATTAGAAATGTTACTTAATATGAAATCGGAAATCAGGTCATGGTATTACGAGACATTTTATTTAATATGAAATCGGAAATCATGTCATGGTATTACATAACGAGACATTTAGATGTCATTGTAACTTGTATCGCGAGGCTCCGCTCCGTACTATCTTTGTTAGAACAGATTTTGGATCATCTTAGGGAAGAGAATTTAAAATTCGTGAAGTTTCGATTTCTTCCTGATTAATAATAAATATATAACAGTAAATATTATTTTATACAATATAATTTTTCTTTTTCTTTTTTATTTCTTATGATAATTTAAAATTTTTATTTTTATTATAATTATTAAATATTTGACTATACTTAAATTTTTTTTACAAATTGTCTTAAAAGATGTCTTACAAAATGTTCAAGCTTGAATTGTTTCTTTAAAAAAATATATACGAGGGTGTCCCGAACCCGAACCAACAGTGGTGTGGATTGGGACAATGTGAATTTTAAATATATATATATATATATATATATATATATATATATATATATATATTTGTGAGATATGTTTGGGAAAGAAGCATTGCATCCCGAACCCGCCCTCTTGACATAATTCAAAATTCATGGTTTCCTGTAAGAAAAGAGGTTTAAAACGGCTGCGGTTCAAAAGAGAGAAATACAAGCTAATTTCATATAATGATAGATCTTATTTGTGTGAATTCATATATATATATATATATATATGACAAGATCAATAAATATAAGAAAGTTGCTGCAAAAGAAAAGATAGAGAGACAAATATGGAAGTTGAAAAAGAAAAAAAAGAAAAAAGAAAAAAGAAAAAAGGAGAGAGTACATTTTGATTTTTATTATTATATATTTTTTAATTTTGTTATTTGGGTATTTTAGACATTTCAATGGTCAAATTGACCAAATGTCCTTATTTGCATAAATTGTATAATGTAGGGGGTTTTGCGAAAAACAAGGGGTTAATTGTACATTTTGTATATTATAAGGGAGGGTTTTTGCACCTAACCCTTATTATTATTATTATTTTACGAATTTAACTAATCATAAACATACATATATTACTTAGTGACCTAATTGGTAGAGCGTCTAACTCTTCAAATAGGTATCGTTTTGAAGTCTTTCCTCCTCCTAATTTGCTAAGATTAAAAAAAAGAGAGAGAGAGAGAGAGAGAGAGAGAGAGAGAGAGAGAGCACAAAGGTTACATTGAAAACTGAAAACTATGACTTTTATTGTTTTTTTTCATTTTTCATTAATACAAGATGAAGTGACAAAAATAAAAACAGGACGAAAGAGGACCTACACTTTGTACAAAAATTGTTTTCTAGAAAGCGGTTCTTGGCGCAAGTGAAGACAGTCAGACATATCATTATGTTAATACAATAATTCGTTTTCCTACTTGACCATGCTTCCCTTTCTTCCAATTATTAATAAGCCTCCACTTTATTGTGCAACTATTAACAACCACCATCATTTACCATCACAATTATATAATCTTATCATTATTTTAAGATAATACGTGACCATCATTATTTTGAATACGGACTTTACTATCACAACTAACTTGAGGCAGATTTTTGGAACCCTTGGAAAAAAATTAAATATAAAACTTGTAATTTTGTGAGATAACCGTATTAACAACATTATTCTCATGAGACTGAAACCGAGTCGAAGAGAAATCCACACATCCCAAGCCACATAACTTTTGTTCAAAGGCACATCAGTACATCTTCTCCGATAAATATTTTATACACACACACACACACACGTACTTGATTTTTAAGGCCCCAAGCTTCTCCAAGAAAAAAAAATATGTACTTGATTTTAAAGGCCCCAAACAGATCATAGAAGAATTGTGGGGACAACTTTGCACCTAAATTACTTTAAAAGCATCATGCATAGCTCAGCTTGCGCAACACACGCACGTGAGCTTCGATTGTACAATTACATTCAAGTTCAAGAATTTAGATTCCCTCTTGAGTCAAATGTGTGCCCTATGTAGGGTGATCTTCGTCTCTTCGATGACCAAAGAGCACCGGATCCAGAAATTTTTTTGAGGGGCACCATCCAAGAATAAAAAAAAAAAAAAATTGTAGACAAATTTTTTAATTTTTTTTTAAGTGAGGGCATTTTTGAAATTTTAACTAAAACTTTAGGTAATAATATAAATTAGAAAAATCCAGTGGATAAATAAGTGAGGTAAAAATGTGAAGGGAGGCATTTTAAAAAATTGAGTGAGGGCATTTTTTAAATTTTAAATAAAACTACAGATAATAATGTAACTTAAAAAAACATCTGTGCCTGCTAGAGAGGATTTAAGTTCTTAAATTTAAGTCTGTTTTTTCAGTGGATTAGAGAGGATTCGAGTTCTGGAGTTTAAGTCTAGAGTGTCCGATTGAAATGATTCTTCGTTCCCCAATATCCGAAACGCTTGTGTTTTTGTGGGTGTTACAGGCACCCATCCATCCACAACACGCACTACCTATGTGCATTATGTTGTTAATGCAGCCTTTCTTTCTTTGGCTCTCCTGAGTCTTCAGACTCCCTCCACTTCCTTCCATGATAAAAGTGGTCATACACATGTGACATGTTGTGTGTGTAAAAATGAAAAAGAGAGGAGACAAAGATAATGTTTACTTTTTAGTCAAACGCTGTTCGAATCCACCATTGAATACAACAACTTCATTTTCTAGAGCCCCTTGCTAATCTCAACAACTACAAACCAAATCTTGAGCAATTTGAGAAATCTTACTTTGGTAATTTGTCAGCCATCAACGATAAGTTCTTGTTACGAATTATTATTAGGATCATTAGAAAGATACTGAGAATTGAAATTGAGATCTTTAGGAATTCTTGCATATATTGGTGCTGATTCTAGCTGTTGTGTATTTTCTCTTCTTTGTGTAATCTCTGCAACTTATATAATGGATTATCTTTTCTCATCCATAGATGCAATCACAAGGCAATACTCTTTCACATACGCCCCACACCAAACTTCTAAAAATGAAGGGAAATATGGACCTAGAGTAGGTAAGAACTAAGAACAACTACAAGTGGGGATCTTTGTGGGGGAGAACTCAAGGACACGAGGGAATAAAGGAACCGAGACATATCTGGCCAATCATAGCCTGACACATTTGCTTGCGTGACAGGTTATAATTGATCGGAACTATGTAATTCAGAATCATATAATAATGAATAATGATAAGTAGTCCGATAATCGGATTATGTGAGTTGAAAATGACATCATCATAACATCATCCTCTATTCACATAAATTTAGTCAGATGTATCCGACTATCGGATTCTTTATCATTACTCTGTAATAATTTCTCCGAAAAAGGAGGAGCATGTAGGCCAAAATTTTCTCTCTTTTCTTTTCTTTTTCCAAAAAGAATAAATATAAGAGAGAAGGAGAAATTTAAGCATAGACTTTGGAATACCACAGCTCATACAAAGTGCAAAGCAGGGCACGGTCCCATTGTTGTTCTAAGCAGTGCAAAAGGAAAAAAAAAGTTAGCATTGCACTTTCTCAACATAAGCACGCGCAATCATCCGCTAGACTGAGACTTTTCTCAATCAAATCCAAGAGAGCACGCTTGAAATGAGCACTGGACAAGTCTCCTCATGATAAGGTAGTAATGAACCAGGCCACAAAGGCACTAACCTGTCACAGTAAAAAAAAATCCCAACCACGCAATTCACTTTTAGCATCTCCAGCTCAAACCCTTGAATCCAACAGGTTATGGAAAAAAATTAGCAGCACCAACACAAACGCACAGATAAATCATAGGGAACACTTAACTGATTCTAATAGAAGTAATGTCACAACTCACAAGACATGGAAATAGAAGCAACTCTCATCACAAAAGCTTTTCAACTAAGGTTAGGGAGATCCAATCTTGCTTTTGCATCCTTTTCCCCGGTGGGAATACAAACCACAAAATCAAACTGACGACACCCAAAAACACGAGTTTATTGAAGTCATCTCACTCATGAAAGTTGAGTTTCGAGCACAGAATCATCCCCACACTTTCAAAGAAAGTGTATCACAGTAGGCAAATATGGATTTCTTCAACTTGGATATAAGCTGGCAATGATCAATCAGCCTCAATGATAAAAAGATCAGAAGCAGATTTTCAGAGACGATCATTTAGCTCCCAATGCTTCATGAAAACAATGATCACCATGATAATGAACACCCTAAAGTACCATGAGAAAACAATTCAATCCAGGAATGAACACCAAGATATGAATAAGCAGGAAATGCTCCAACAGATTTTTTAGCTGGTTACATTTCAATCAGTATGATGAGATAAGCAAGGTCCGAGTTTACGTATAGAAAGTGTGAGTGAAGCATCCATCATGCACAAAACTGAACCCCCCAAAAAAAAAAAAAAAAAAATCATTAGAAAAGATGACCACCAGAAAACCATTAAATTGTCTCATCATCTTTAGTGACACATCTCCAAATAGGAGGTGAGAGACGAAACCTATCATACTCCCAATCAAGAAATATAGGAAATGGATGGTACCAAATTTGCCCAAATATTACTGTAAGAAAAATTATACAATTTATGGAAGCTATAGGGAAAAAAACATTTACACAAGAAACTTAATGTGGGTTTAGAATTCTAAAATCCAACGATAGTCCAACACAAAAGAAAAAATTTGTAAAGTTGCGTGTTTCAAGCATCAGTTTCTAATTCTTCATTAATCTCTCCACGTATGCCTGCAAAATGAGGTAAAGTCATGCCTTAGTATAGTAACCTGAATTTAAATGGGGGATAATCACTTACAATTTGAAGTTTTTTAATTGAAACTCGATACCTCATACAATAAATATTATTAGAAATAAACAGATGATCACAAAAAGTAGCAGCAATAGTGCTTAAAACTGGCAAAGTTGCCGGAAACTTTGAAAATAACACCACTCAATTTCTAAAAAATGAACCTCATTCTTTTTAATTGATAAGAAGTAACATAAAAATTGAATGGTGCTGACAAAACAGATTTGAACTAAGTGGTAAAGCAAACTCGAGAACCATATGCCTCCTAAGGAATTGGCCAATTGAAATGTGCATCTGTCGGAAGATAATTCTGTAAATAAAAAAATAAAATAAAAAACAATTAAAAAAAACAGAGCCACCAGGAAATAAGAACTCACTTGTACTAGTTTGGTAAGCTTGGGTTTTGAATATGACAGATATTCGTCAATTTTATCTTGTGTCTTTGGGATATTGGGTCCTTGAATGGTACTAAGTACTTTATCAACCACTTTCTTTACAACGGTTTTGTGAACTTCCCTGCTCATCTGGCCTTCTTTCCATACAGGCTTTAAAATCTCCTTAACAAACTCCACAAGTGTGACTTTAAATAGTCGCATTTCCTTTTCATCCTTGCCACTATTGCCCTCTTCAGCCATGCCACATGCAGCCACATTGTCTACATGATTAGTTTCTTGCTCCTGCTTGCATTTCTCAGTTTTTATTTTATTGTTTTCCTCGATTTCTGAATTTGAAATTGGCTTGCCCTCTTCAACCCTGTCACATGCAACCACATTGTCTTGATGATTAGTTTCTTGCTCTTGCTTGCATTTCTCAGTTTTTATTTTATTGTTTTCCTCGACTTCTGAATTTGAAATTGGCTTCTGCTGCTCCAAGTTCAAATTCAATTTCAGATTCCCCTGATATTCGTCCACTGAACCATCATGCTTCTGGATTTTGCTGGAGTCAGGCTCATCATTAGACGATCCAGAGAACTGTTCCATGGTCATCGGTTTTTTCTCTTCATCGAGTCCGTTGCTGTTGCCAGGTTTAGTAGACTTTACACTATCACTAATATGATCACACTGTTCAAGGCACCTTCTAGCTGTATCAGGCTGACCATCCATTGAGGCCACTGGAGGAACAAGAGTTGCAGAATTGGAAAGAGAAGGAACCAATCTGGTGGGATCTGGGGGGTTAAGAGTAGTGTATATCTGAGAAGGTTGTCCCTTCCCAAACATCTGAGTCAGAGATGCTGGAAGGTTAGTTCTTTGAGCAAACTGCTCGCTGGCCTGAGGGATTTCAGAGATGACTTGTGGGATTTTGAAATCCAGCATCTGTAGTGTTTTAACAGATTCTTCAGGATGAATCTGGGTCTGATCTTGCGAATTCAAAGGAGAGAATAACTGTTGCACTGGCTCATTTAGACCAATACTATGCCCATTTGAGGAGTTTAGAGAGATCATGTGCTGACTTCCATCAGTTCTGCAAGAACTTCGTGGTAGAGAGGCCAAACTATCACCACTCTGATTGAAGCTTTGTTCAGGCACAAGAACTGGAAACATGATGCTTCCAGAGGCATTTTCCTTGTTAAGTGCATTAGAACCATCTGTCATTGAAACACCCTCCCTTCTATTCATGCAATGCAGCTGGATATTAGAATTTCCGGAGACCACTGGACGCATAACTGTGGCAGCAAGCGGCTGCCCCAAAGCTTCTTGTGCTGTATTCTGTTCATGAACATGCATAGAGATTCCATCCAGTGTCTCAGAATGCAGACTTTGGGAAATGAGTGGGTGCTCTTCTTTGTCAAAAAATTTTGCCACCCCCGCTGATTCAGTGATGCTCATGTTTGCATCATCACTACCATTGCCAAAGCGAGGAGCTGGGTATTCATCTCTCACAGCAGCCTTATCTTTCCATTGCAGACTGCCGCACATTCTGCTCTGATCGTCTGAACTGTGGCCCCATCTTTCATCCACCGATTTCTCAGCAGTTGTTGGGTCAGCAAAATTCACATCTCCAACATTACTGTTACCCCACCCACTGGGCTCTGTAACACCTGAGCCACCAGTTGCTTCACCCCATTTTGGACCATTCCATGGTTTGTTCTCATCATCCAAAGTGTGGCCCCATCTATCTTCAGTCCATTTCCCAACAGCTGTTGGAACAGTGTGATTTGCATTCCCAGAATCACTGTTACCCAACCCAGTGGACTTTGCAACATCTGAGATACCATTTGCATCACCCCATTTTGGACCATTCCACGACGACTTCTCATCATCCAAATTGTGGCCAAACCTATCATCCAGCGACCTTCCTTCACGATTGCCACGCGCTGCACAGTCATGAGAAAACCTGCAATCATCCCTCTGGCACCTCCCCATCGCAAAAAACTTGCAAGGAATATTGCTTGGATGGTGTTTGTGATGATTAACAAAGGAAGTGCTTCTGTTGCTTCTCTCGTAGTTAGCACCAGAAGCACCATGGTGGGGATATCTGCATGATGAACCCCTATAGCACCTACCTTTGAGAAAATCATTACAAGGAATTGTAGATCTACTGCTACTCCTCCGCAACTCTCCCCTCTCTCTATCATCAAAATTACCATACCCATCAGAAATCTTATTTCGTTGATAATCCCTAGGCCCTTCATCATAAGCATAATCTAAAGCTTCTTCACTCTCCTGTCTACGTCTCCACCTTTCTGATCGATCGCTCTCTGATCGTCCCCCATCCCTGTGATTGAGACTATCTTGATGAAGGAACCTACACTGACTACCTCTCCTGCACTTCCCAACAGTGAATTCTCTACAAATTTGAGATGATAATCTGGAACCGGGTCTGTCACTCCATCCATATGATTCACGTCTATATACCAGACTCTGGCTCCGACTTCTGCTCCGGCTCCCACCCCTGTCCCAACATCTACTCCCGCTCCTGCTCCTGCCCCTGCCCCTGCTCCTGCTCCTGCTCCTGCTCCTGCTCCTGCCCCTCCCTCTGCTCCTGCTCCTGCCCCTCCCTCTGCTCCTGCTCCTGTACCTACCATCCAAATGATAAGAAGGCAAGGTTAAGTCCAACTTCAAAAATTCCACCAACTAGGAAAATTTAGAAGAAAAGTAATTAGGGAATAAATTATAACCAATTATAACTTCAAAAAGACTATTGAAAAATTGAAAGAATCCTGGAAGTAGTTTAAAGCCACCAATATAGCACTGGCACCATGAGAGTTTGATATGGTGACACCTGAAGTTTGCTTCTCAAAACACAAACCACAGTTTGTAACATCAATTATCGAAAATTTTTAAGTCATTCTAATTTAAATGGGGAATTAAAAGGTCTGATTCTTCCTCATCCCTGGGAGCATGACTAGAAAAGAATTAAAAATATATATAAATAAATAAATAAAAACAAGAAAAAATAGAAACATACTAACATAGTGACATGAAGAGGTGAATCTTCCTGGTAAATTCAAATGAACGGAATAATTTAACGAATTAAACGTCCAACGGAAACAGATTAGTCACAGCAATCAAATTATTATTATGTATAGACTATAGAGATGATTAAGATTATTACATCACAAACCTGTGTGACTGGTTCCAACTCTTTTCTGCCGAACGGCTGATGTATTGCTGTTCCAATCCATCAAAACCAGTATATATATCACAGCTTTTATCCCTACTCAATGCCCTAGTAGTTTTTGGAATTTCATTTAAGCCTCTGCTGATGCTGACATCCTTCTGACCGTGATTTCCTTGCGAGTGTTCCCGAGATGGCCATCCAGAACCAACTCTGGGCTCCCATACATCATTGACATCCAACTCTGACCATTCCTTATCATTTCCATGAAGACTGGAATAGCTTTCTCTTCCATGAAAAACAGTCTTGTCAATTGTTTCAGCAGGAAGATGAGTCTCTTCTTTGCTATCCCATAGAGATTTCCGTTTTCTGACACTTCCCCTCATAGTGTCCCCAGTAAAGAAATATCTGCAATATTTATGTTCTCAATCAAGACACAATAATCTGGACAAGTAAAAGTATCAATAATTTTTAAAAGATATCACGAAAATCATTGAAGTTTCCTTTCAGTATCTGTTCTCTGAGGTGTGTTTGTTTGCTTTCACTATGTGGACCAATTTGCAGAAAGCAATACCATTATGAATAAGGGTGAATTTCCAAAAATAAGAAATAGCTCATAAAAAATATAATTTGACAATCCTTAATAATGTTTTAGGAATTCTTCATGGCATTTCAATATTTGTTCTGTGGAAATATGTGTTTGAAAAAGGTAGAGAAAAATATTTTACACAATCTCGTTGTCAACTGAGGTCAACTCGAACCTGCAAATTATTGACTTCCGAGTTAGGCAGGTTTAGTATTGGTTCTCAGATCCAATTGACTCAAGGCCATTTATTAGTTAAAAAAAAAAAAACTGCTCAATATTTTACAGTGCGATTGGCAGTATGAAATTTGTACTTTGGAATGGGAATTGGAGGGAAACAATTTTAAAGTTTGAACGAATATGATCCTCTCATTGAACACCAAGGTGAAAACCCAGCTGCCAAAAACAGCACTAATAGTAAATACATATGGGTCATTTGTGTTGCAAACCAAGACAAGCAGGTGTTAGATTTCAACTCATTGCAAATCCATCTCAACTCAAAATGCCAGTCGCACACAAACAGAAAGCAAATAATCACACAATTTGACAAACAATGTGGTCAACTCTTCATGCATACAAGCACCATATAAAGTTTATTTTCATCCAACATGAAAACTTGATTTTCCCCTGTTCAACCCACTCACAAAGTCAAATAGAATCTGCAGCCTCCTGACAGTCGTTTTGAAAAGGCAGATCTTGGTACAGATTCTGTGCCCTGATGAGGGTTGGGGGTAACCAGAAGTGAAGACTTTTTGATGAAATCAGAATTTTATACATTAAGATTGCCAAAATGGGATACAAAGACAAAGTGAAATATAACTCATGTAGCAGAACATAAAAAAGGTTGGCTTAAATTCAGGTAGATTCAAAACTGTAGAATGAAACTATTACATTACTATCATATCAACCGACCAAATAAGATTTAGTTCAGAGTGTTAAAATTATTTGAAGTAATATAAAATCGCATATTTGTAGTATTTAGATAATAAAAATAATAGCATGATTGATAAGTAAATACTAATCAAACTGAATTCGAAGATCTTAAGTCACCTGAACCAATCCACTTATAGCCAGATCAACTTTAATAACCCCAAAGAAACCCACATCCAAAAGGTATCCCACTCGACCCGTGTAATGTGCTAGGTTCAAATAAAATGGGGGTTCATGTCAAAAATTACCAAACCTATATCTGAAGAGAGTAAATTTTGAAGCAAGAGACTGTAAGCAATTATTATATGGCATAACGTGTGCTGTGGAAGACACTTTAGAACATGAAATATCTTTGGAACTCTGTCCCATTGAAGTGGAAAAGGATCAACCAATTGAGGACATATGTTGAACAGGATTACAGAAAATTAGAATGAAATCTAATGGCACAACTCTGTTAAAATTCTTTCTTGTCTAAAATTTTCATAGGCTTATTAAGAAGGAGTCAACTAGCCACATCATGTGGAAAATGCTTGACCGCCTTAGAAAGCCTTTGTCCAATCACCAAACCAAGACCCTAAAAAAATGGCAAGGGTAACAAAACACTAAGATCACCAAGGGCTGAAGCCTAGTGGTACTTCCTCACCTTCCAAAGTAAAAGGTCGAGGGTTCAAGTCCTCATAAGGGCCAAGTGGGTGTGTGGGTTTTTTGCCGAAGTAAAAAACAAAACACTAAGAGCATCAGAGGTGGCTCAATTTGAGTATACAACAGATAACACAGCCCTGTCTTAGCAAATCATATCTCCTAAAAATCATCGAAGTACTAGAAAAATACAAACTGATACAAAGGACTAAGCATAGCCAGTTTTATGTTATGGACAGAGCTTTCATTCACCTCAAAGGTATATTATGTATGCTCTAAACTGTCAACCACATGCACTAGCTATCTGCAATCCACATTGGCCCCTTCCACATATGCTTTCCCCTGCACTTGTCTTCAAATACTCTATTCCAGCTCTTGGCATTACACACCGAACAGTGGAAGAAGCTAAAGAGCAGATCATAGATCCCAAACCACTGGATGATGAACCCAGGAGAGTCAACTGTATCCTCAGCTACAACCCGATTTTTCTTTGCTGCTTTGATGGCTCGTGACGCCAGAAATTAGGCGAAAGGGAAATGGACTTGATCGAACCTTCTAACTGCTCCTTGGGATCAGATTTATGAAATGCATCCCAGCCCTTTACGAGCCTCTCATACTTGGTCAAATAATGTCCCCATTATAAATAAAACAGTAGTCGGGGCAGAGCCCTGCCCCTTTCAAACAAATTATTGAGATTTCCGCCAATGTCATGGTTGAAACCAAATAAAAAATAAAAGAAGCTACCTCAGAGGGTAAATTTCTGCTCCGAATACTCATTCACATCAAATTGACACACCTTCTACTCCCCTGCCACTCAAAACCTTAGAGGAGCTCATATCAAATTTGACACTATATGTAGCTCTCCATCTCAACACATCAATACTGTCACTAACAATAGAAAAGCAGTAAAAAATCTCAGAAAAGGCATCCACGGTTTCAACTCTCAACCCTGTAAGGCTCCAGAAAAGCATCAATCCAAAAGTACCCCAAAAATTGAAATAAAAGGTCTATCTGGTAGAAGCTTTTATGTCAACTGTTATCCTAAAAAATCAGAGAATGCATCTTCCAAAGCATGTTCCCCGCACCAAATACTGTTTAAGAAACTCACCGTGTTCACATTCCCCACCAGAAACTAATATTTTTAGGGCATTCCTCCCCACTTCCTAATGCTTCTCCACAAACTCATTCCATATGATCCCTCCACTCAATTTTGACAAAGTCCATTTCCCCCAGGCTATCCTATACTTCCCAATCAAAATATGTGCAACTTCACTGGGGATGAGAGTTGTATATGTTGAAGGATTTAAATATTTAAGTCACACACTCTCTAACAACTTAAGCTTTTAGAGTAGATGGTAGTTAAAATAGTATCATAGCAGGCAAGTTCCTGTGTTCAAACCTCACCGTCACCCCTGATTTAAAGATTGAAACATGTGTTGGACCAAAAGAACGCCACACGTGAGGGGGCGTGTTGAAGGATTTAAATATTTAAGGTGCACCCTCCCCAACAACTTAAGCTTTTAGAGTAGATGGTTGTTAACATATACAACTCTCTTGAAGATGACAAGAATAATTTTTAACCCTTTGGAAATACTGTGTGCATGTGGCTCTTATAGGGAGTGGAGTGTAAAAGATCAATTAGTTTGGAAAAACTTGGTAAAAATCATATTTAGCACCTCCGTGGCAACAGCATGGTGGAAAACGGGCTTAAAATTTTCCTTCTAGGGTCATTTGTGAAACATATAGCTCAGAAGGGCCTTTTTGAAAAATTTCTGGAGGGAGGGGTCAAAAGTGTAATTTCAGTAGTCACCTATGCCATTTAAATTGGCGTGTGGATCTTGGGACAATTCCTAGATTGTCACAGCATGAGGTACGACAGTCACCTGGATTTGGACTCCAGGTTGACCCAGAATGTTACTGCATGATAGAAATTGCTCCAATACATTGTCTTGAGGTCTGAAACTGTGAAAATTTACGAGAACTCACTGTATTTCATTTTTCAACAGGGTTCGAAGTGCCCAAGTCTTGTCCTTTGCATGTATGGCTAACTCTACGAGGAATATCAGGTTCAAACAGCTGTTTCCTGCAGATTCTAGGCTATGTGAATTGTGCTTGCACTGGTCAGATTCGAAACAAAAAGAATTTGTGTGTTTGTTCAGTCACGCCCTTTAACTTGCTTTGCTGATGTTCAGCTTCGAAATGATTGAATTTTGGATCAGGAGCACTTTGTTTTTTGCTTTGGAGAGTGCAATATGCTGCCCACAATTGAAGAATACCGTCACTTGCTTATTACTGACAAAATCTCATGTGAAGTGGTACCAACAAGCTTTTCAAAAATAAAAATAAACCATAGCTTGAGCTCCCTATCCAGCTTGAAATGCAAAGCTATTGATTTGAAGGAAAATGGTAGTTACACTCTTGAGTATCTCAACAAAGAGATGCAAATCTCTGTCCACTTACTCCTCAAGGATTAAAGCCTGTCACTTACTTCACATAAAGCCAAAAAAAGTGTTCATATAATGTCGATATCAAGTTTGCCTATTACTCTTACTTGCTCCTTATTCGAAAATCAATGCATGCATTTACTACTAAAGCAACACTCAGATGGTGTTGCCCATCCACAAAAGCATTCTAGAGTTCTGATATCACCTTCCCCAAAATACTCGCACCATCAAAACTAGCACCTCTTAAACCAACTTACGCACACTACCAAACAAGCTTACAAACAATGCATTCAAATTCCTATTAGATCCTCACATTTCTTAATAACAATAAATCATTGTCATGATATCATCCCTAAGGGCCTAAACACGGACCATGCTCAAAAACTGCCATAGGCAACCAATCAAAAGCTAGAGGTTTGTCCCGTTCAAGATTTTGACAACTTGAATCACCTCTTCTGTAAGAGGACATTCCAATTCCTCATGAGTCACTCCATCAATTGACCAAAATTCCTTCCCATTACATAGGTCTCCACTCCCCTTACTCAGAGTACAATCCCTTACAGAATCCAACAATTATGTCTTTCACCTGTTCCTCCCCCCTTCTCACCTCTTTCCCTTCAATTATCACCTTTCCTATGATGGCATGTGTCCCCTGTAATATATTTTTCATGGTGCATTGAACTCACTCAAAGCACTGTACCAATTGCTTGGTGTAATGGTAGCAATGGAAGAAGTGCCAGAATACAAATTTCGCATTCTGACTGTCAAGCATATTAGAGCACAAACTCCCTACGGACAAGTTATGAGAGCGATCATCATAGGTGCATAAGCATAATATGCTCAAAGTCAGACACCTTGATATAGGTGTGCAGTTCCACGCTGCCACATAAATCGGCCACAACCAAGGAAAATTGGCCACTAAGGAATGAGCAACAAAGCAGCGCGTAGGTTGGATTAGAGGCTGTACAAGATGATGCCATGTCTTGAAGACAGTGTCATGTGGCAACGAAAATGCAACCATCTACACATGTAAAAGACCACCAAAAAAATGATCAAACAATCATCATATATGTCAATGTCCTATACTAGATGACAAGATCTAAGCAAAAGAGTTGCAATTTTATAACTTGATTCTAGAAGGATCATTTATCATAATCAGATGCATCATCTGCCAAAAAGAGTGGTAGTAATAATCTCACTTGACAGCCATGAAGGGTGCAAATAGGGTACTGCACTAAAGGGCTATCATGAACTCACAAACAGCTAGACAGCACAGCCCATCAGAAATCCATTTTTTTTTTTCGGGTAACCCCATCAAAGAGTTCTGTTGCTAATAAATACATATATATAGAGTGAGAGAAAAAGAGAGAGATAGATCACAAAGATCATTAAAAAAATCATTTTGATGTTTTATTAAGTCTTTGGCCCTTGCAGAATCTTGTTACACTATTATGGCATATTATAAGCTATATAAAACCCAAAAAGAAGTCACAGAATTCCAAGAGTACCCTCTATGGAAACATATTTACCAAGACTCAAAATTGTTCCTAAAAGATCGAAAATAAGAGACGATGGAAAAAAATAATTGCATTCTCATAATATCACTCAAATTTTTTTTTTTTTAATTATAAGAATCGACTCTTTTATAATATTAGTCCAGCACTTAGTCACTACTGTGTTACAACAGCTTCAGTAAAACATCACTCAATCCATTACAACATAATTTTGCATGTCATCCACTTCTAGGTTACATCTATCTCCTCTCGCAAAAGAAACTCAATATCAAGTTTCTTTACATGTAAACATTAATACAGTCTCCAAATAACATTAATAGTCTCCTTATAGGTTCTTCAAAAAGCTTTCTAAAAAAATGGATGATTCCACAACTCATCCTACCTTAGGACTCGGATAATATTCCTAAACCCACAAATCTGTAAAAGTAAGAATTTACTATGACTTCTTAAAATCTCATAGTATCAACAAAAATAAAGATATTAAATTAAATTGATTGCAATGTCATCTATTTGCATTTCTTGCATCCTATAGCCTCTAAAAATCTAAGAACATGGTGAACCCTCCTTAGTTCCATCTGTGTTGGTGTCAGGACTTGCCCACGCTGTGTAAACATTGTCTGCTTTGCACCCTCTCCATGCTAATGGTTTCCAAAATGCGTCTAGATAGATAGGAGGCATTTCCCTTATAAATGTCAGGAACTTCTCCCCTCCACACAATGTGGGACAGCACAGTCACCCCCTCTTTGGACGCAGCGTCCTCGTTGGCGTGACCCTCGTGGGTTTGTGCAAGCTCCCCAATATTTCAGTTGGGGATTGGTTTTGTCACGACCCGCCCACGTTGTGTAAATATTGTATTCTTTGCACCCTCTCCGTGTTCACGGTTTTCAAAATTTGTATACACATGTAGGAGGTATCACCTTATAAGTGGATCTAACCCCATAACTTTACCAGCAGCTAAGCTGAAGGGAGAGAGAGAGAGACAGAGTACAAGGCCTTCTTTCTTCATTTCCATACTTCATTCACTTTCTACTTACAAAACACTAAAAACAAGTCAAAACATTCCAAATCTCAACCTTCCATATAGGGTAACATTTAGGACTCAACTACTATTTCGAAATTCAGCACAGCTTCCAATAACAAGAAAATCAATCAAAAAATTTATACCAACACTCAAAGCACTATAATAAATAAATTGCTTTGCCATCTAATTCTACAGTAATATACATACATATATAACAAAACCAGCACAATTAGCGCAAATAACTCATATAACTCATAATTATCCCTGCTTGCTGACTTCTAAATCTTTTATTATGGCTGAGAATGTGAAGGGAAAACGAAATTTTTTTCTCTAGCTTTCTTTCGTTTTCCTAACAACCAAAAGTAGGGTTCATGAAAGAAAGAAAGGAGAAAAAGAATAACACATAATAATCACTGCTTGCTGACTTCTAAATCTTCGATTATGACTGAGAATGCAAAGGAAAAGAGAAATAGTACTCTCTAGGTTTCTTTCGTTTTCCCAGCAACCAAAAGTAGGGTTTATGAAAAGAGTGATTCACCAAAGAATTAATGGACAAGTAAAAAAGAGATTTATGTAAAGAAACAAACAGAAAATGAAAACATGTAAAGCAATCAATCCAATATCAAACGAAATAGAAACCCTAACTTCAAAATATGAACGCGAAGCAACGAGTTGTGAGAAAACAAAACTCACCACAGAGTGAAGAAAGAGAATGTATAAGGTGAACCGTGAATTGAATGAAATGAAATGCGAACCTCTTCGAGGTTTTACAGCGAAGGAACGCGTGAATGCAAAGTTTGACTCCGAGGGGTCGTCGGCCTGGGAAAAACTCACTAAAACCGGGTCAGTGTCTCAAGCATAAACAACACTCACCTTATATTTTCCTTTCGATAAACTATTTCGGTAAAAAAACAAAAAAACACAATGATAGCCGAGCAAATGAAATATAAATATTTTTTCTCTAAAAATTATTCCAAATAAATAAGTCAATTAATTTTTTTTTTTTTTAATATATGGCTACAAAAATTATGTTTTTTTTAAGAAAAGGTTGAGGCAAAACTCATTCAATTTTTGTACTCAATTTTAGTCCCTATTACCTCTTCAAAATGAGTTTGAATTCTCTAAAATTAATTAAGTAACTTACATGATCCAGGTGATGAGGTGTCTTTTTGAATTTTCGAGAAGTAGTCGAGTTGTTGAGGGGCTTAAAGATTTGTGCCATCCCAGACATCCCGAATCAATAAAACAAAATAATAGAAAAAATTCAAATCTTCTAAAATAAAAGTGGCAGATGTAATTTGTTTCAATACACTTAAATCTATTTTTTCATTTTATATTTCTACACAAATCAAATGTATTATACACTTATTTAAATGAATTAAAATACAAAATAATATTGTTGAAAAGAACACTCTTAAAATATAAAATGTATAACAAACGTATTTAAAAACTTTACTACACACTACAATAGAAGATTCAAACACCTTCAAAAGAAACCTTAAACCCTCTTCGGCAAGGGCAAACTGTTAATATAAATCATAGATTAGTGACATGCTAATTCAAAAACATAAAATTTAAAAATAATGCATATATTTAGTCACATTTAAGAACAGTTGCAAAAATCATAGCTTATTTCCTTTGTGCAACAAAAAGAATTTTTTTAAAATATTTTTTGAATTAACTAGTGGCAAAAGAAAATAAAAAGTTAAGAGTTGTGATTTAAATATGAAATTAACTAGATAGTACAAAAAAAAATCAAGTAAACAATCACTGTTCAATTCCATTCTCACTTTCCTCTCTTCCTCATCTTTCCCTCCTGCCAAACAACATCAAGTAAAAAAAAAAAATTTATTGGGTTCGACTAGGTACCCTAGATTGGAACCCGGTTAGAAACAAGAGTCGGGTCTTGAGTTGCAACTGCAAATCCAGCAATTCATCTTCTGGTCTTCTGTTACATTCCCACTTACACAGATCTGCACTTTCTTACGATAATCTGAGCAGAGGATCAAAATTCATAAAAATCTCTCAAGAACAGCTTATATATATATATATGTATATATGTTATAGAGCAAGTCCAATCACTATTTCTTGATATTGCATCATCACATTCATCATCGTCATCATAGCCCTAGATCACGAATTGCTGGTCCCTCGATCTCAGAAAAATGGTGCTCGTATCGGCCGTACGAGACTACATCAATCGCATGTTACAGGACATTTCGGGCATGAAGGTTCTCATTCTCGATTCCCAAACGGTAAGCTCAACAATCCCCCTTTATTTTTCGAATAAATATTTCGATTATCCTCCAATTATGCTGTCTAATTTAGCGATCGGATCAATTTCGGTTCGTTTAACTGAGAAACATTGATAATCTGATTAAAATCTTACACGAACAAACACTAGTTAGAATTTGGATTGTTTGAGCGGTACGCATAAACAGGGGAATTAGAATTTCACGTGATTGATATTTGTTTGTCTTGGTTTTTGCTGGAATTAGCAATTAGTTGAATGCTTTTAATTTTGAGTAATCCTAGTCCCACTTGAATGCATCAAGAATGCCGTGGGAGAGTCGGTTTTCTGAATAGATGGATTCAGTCGGTAAAAAAAATTATAATGTTTGTTGATAGTATTACATGTATGGGTAATTGCATTCCGTTACCAGTCTTTCAGAGTTCTTAACTTGATACATTGATTGGCAGCAGGTTTTTTCTATTTCAGTTTACGGGTTTTGTTTAGTGAGCCAATCCGTCAAAATAAATGTCATTCTGATTTCAGGTTTATTGTGTTGCATAGTGATTTGCAAATTAGTATCATTACCGTTGCTTATCCTTAGACTGTAATGAATCTATTGAATATGGAATGGAGTAAGTGATGATCATTCTTGGGGAAATGTGCAATGAATCACTTGTATATTTAAGATTTCGGAAGATGGGGTACCCCAAAAGGCCCCAAAACCCTCCCTACCAAACCTCCATACCAAAACATGCTACCCAAACCCATAGACATAGAGGTTGGGGGGGCAACCTCAAATCCCTCGAGCTGCTCATCAGATTTGCGTTAGAATGGCTTAAATGCATTATCAGGGCAGATGTTAATGTGAACAGTAAGCAACAGCATTGGATGTGGGATTCAATTATTATTTCGTTTTGAGGAATTTGCTTTTTTTGGAACCAAAGGGTGGGGGGGAACTGATTTGGATAGTTGAGGTTCAACAGTAAGAGAAAATGCTAGAGTCCATAGAACAAAAATGTACAATAATTGCACCCAAACTATGGCTTACCCAAGGGACAGACCCTCACCGAATACAACATAGACAATACAATAAATAAGTCTGCACTCTGCAGCAAACAGCATCACTTGGAGCCCTTTATTGAAGCAACTCGATTCCAGAAAATGGGTTACCATCGTCAGCAAAGCAAGAAATTCATCCCAGCATTACCTCTAGCGTCTGAGTATTTTTCATTGCACATAGAACTTCCAATTTGACATATTTTTCTTGAAATAGCAGAGTCTGTAATATTTTTAAATGCAGCAATTCCTCTTTGACATATCCTGAAAAGGTCCCACAGTTTTCTTCATGCTAGAGGTGATAAACAAATGCAACTCTTCAGCTTCCTCACCATATTAACCAAAGATTTGCTTTAATAGTCTTTGATCCAAGCAAATCCGGACATTGTGTGGCTCCACAAATTATTTATTTAATTATTATTATTATTATTTTGGTGTAAATATTGAGCTTACTCTCTTAAATCAAACCTTTCACTTAATTTTTTTTGAAAGTTAAAGCAATTACGCACATACCCTACCTCCACCGAGGTTCGAACCCCCGACCTCCCCTTTGGGGAGGAAGGGGTGATACTGCTAGGCCAATTGGTCCTTTGGTAAATCAAACCTTTCACTTAATTTTTTTTGAAAGTTAAAGCAATTACGCACATACCCTACCTCCACCGAGGTTCGAACCCCCGACCTCCCCTTTGGGGAGGAAGGGGTGATACTGCTAGGCCAATTGGTCCTTTGGTAAGTCAAACCTTTCACTTAATACCATTGTTCGCAGAGATTTTCTTTTCTATCTGCTTGATAACAAGATTTTGGGATTCTATTTTTGTAGGGTTCATCAGTTCATGTGATTTATTACATGCTTTGTTTTACCGAGTCTATCATATAAGGAACATAAATGTGCATTTTGTATGTTTAATTTAATCTGTTTCTAATTTTAGTTTATATTCATCTTTGAATAAAAGTAAGTTATGTGATTTTCTTGTTTCCAGGTTAGCATTGTCAGTGTTGTGTATTCTCAGTTGGAGCTGTTACAAAAAGAAGTATTTTTGGTCGAATTGGTAGATTCCATTTCCAAGTCAAAGGAACCCATGTCTCATCTAAAAGCTGTTTACTTTCTTCGGCCGATATCGGAGAATATTCAGCATATGCGACGTCAGCTGGCCAATCCAAGATTCGGAGAGTATCATCTTTGTAAGTTACTTTTATTGGGATTAGAAGAGAAAAAATATAACATGACAGTCTTAGTGGAAACTGGAAAGACTAATCATTTGTACAAATTTTATTAGACTTTGTTGTGAGTTATTGAATGAAGTACCCTTTTCTATGTCAATGCTTCTCTTCCAGTTTTATCCAATATGTTAAAGGATACTCAGCTTCATATTTTAGCCGATTCAGATGAACATGAAGTTGTCCAGCAAGTTCAGGTGATTCTGCATTTGTTGCTCTTAGCTGCTTAACCAGATTTTTCATCTATCTATATATTTTTGTCCATTTTCACAACAATTTAGATTTCTTAATTGACTATAAACTTATTTTCTGAATTTAGATGCCAAATTTGTTAGGATTAACTATTACTGAAAAAATTTATAGCCTTTTTTTTAAAATTATTTATATATATATATATATATATATATATATAAAGTATCTTGATGTAGTCATTGTTGTTGTTTGCATGATCCCTCGTTCTGCTTCTTTCTTTCATGTATATTAAATTATTTAATTTCATAAAGATGAAGCATAGTTTTTTAAGGGAACATTGAAGATACCCATTATCTTTTGCTCATGGAAATTGGTTCTATTTCCTCAGTTCTTCTTGTTAGACACAATTAAATGCAGTTTGGAGCTTTATCGTCCATTTTGTTTAGCAAATTGTTATATTACATTATTATACTGGACATTAGTTATAGAAATGACACTGTTTACTTTTTGCTATAGTTTTCAAATAGAGATTCATATGATTGTTGTTTTGGTTATGCAGGAGTTCTTTGCAGATTTTGTTGCAAATGACCCTTACCATTTCAGTTTGAACATTCAATCAAACCACATGTATATGCTCCCAGCGGTTGTAGATCCTTTTAATTTGCAGCACTTCTGTGAACGAGTTGTTGATGGTATTGCAGCAATTTTCTTGGCATTAAAACGACGACCTGTTATTCGATATCAGCGGACCTCTGACATTGCTAAAAGGATTGCACAGGAGGCAGCGGTGAGAGAAGTTGCAAACTGCAACATGTCACTTGGATATTGCTTGCATTAATACTTACATAAATGATATGAATGAATTTTCTGTATTTTATTTTACATGCTTGCATATTTTATCTTTGTTTATTTCCTTAGAATTGGATATGTGATACATACATCTATTATCGATTTTAGTATTTCTGCCTTGGGTTATAGGGGTCTAGATTCTCTTGTGGATTTTACTGTTGCAAGTAATTGATTTTCTTTCTCCCCTGTTTACGTCAGAAACTGATGTACCAGCAGGAAAGTGGGCTTTTTGATTTCAGACGAACAGAAATTTCTCCCTTATTGCTAGTAATTGATAGGAGGGATGACCCTGTTACTCCATTGCTGAATCAGTGGACATATCAGGTACTTTTCGTGATGACTACCAAATTGCCACTGTTATTCCTGTCATCTCATCTGTGCCATTAATTTTCATAGGCTATGGTTCATGAGTTGATTGGTATTCAAGACAATAAAGTTGACTTGAGAAATATCAACAAGGGTTCGAAGGATCAGCAGGTTTAGTTCTAATCGTCCTTGTGCTGCAAACTCTTATCTCTATACTTTTTAAGCATGACGATTCATTTTTATCTTATTTTATTTATTTATTTATTTATTTTTGTGTCTATTTATACTTGCAGGAGGTTGTGCTTTCATCAGAACAAGATGCCTTTTTTAAAGCTAATATGTATGAGAATTTTGGAGATATCGGAATGAATATTAAACTTATGGTAGATGACTTTCAGCAAGTTGCAAAAAGTAACCAGAACATTCAGACCATAGGTTTGTATGAGGCAAATATGGAAATTTTAGTGCTTGCGATCTTTTTTTTATCAATACTATTATCAGTGATCACTTAGATGGTGGTTAAAGTATGGCAGTAGCTGACAAATTATTGAGTCATCAAACTCTTTGGGTTTCTGCAGAAGACATGGCCAAATTTGTTGATAACTACCCGGAATACAGAAAAATGCATGGCAATGTTTCAAAGCATGTAACCTTAGTTACAGAAATGAGCAAGATAGTTGAAGAGAGAAAACTTATGGTAGTTTCACAAACAGAACAAGAATTGGCTTGCAATGGTGGGCAAGGGGCAGCATTTGAGGTAATTTTCTGCTTTATTATAGTAATTCAGTCATTTTTTCTTGACTATATACCATTTACATTGACTCTGTACTTACTATTGAATCTAAAATACTTTATTCTTAGATTTCCATTTTTCACAAATGATTTTAAATGTCACAACCATAATGTCATCATAATTTCATATATGGAAGACATGGTTGTAACATGTTAAGTAATGTGTATGATCACGGTGTATGAATTGAAGAACAAGTATAAGAATGCCAGATTAAGGAGCATGAAATTTTTTGAAAGAAGATTGGAGAATTTTTTAAATAGGAGGCAAACTGTCATGCGAAGGTTGTACAAATGTGTACAGATTTTCTACTGTTGTTTATAGGTTTGTATCTGTTGTTAAAAAAAAAGCTCTAGCAAAAGTTTTTGACATGTTAGTTCCGAGTCTCTGACACTTTGTGTTCTGATGTAGGTGTCAAATGAATGGCATAAAATTTTCTTTCAAAAAAGAAATGAATGAATGGCATAAATTGGGTGCTTGTAAGATGTTTGAGGTTTTTTTATTATGAGAAATTCTTAATGTGAGCTGAATTTGGTATTATGTATGAACAAGTGGGGAAACCCAATAATTTATGCTCACTATTGGTGTGGGTCACATTGATAGCATTAATGCAACTTTGACGGAGTGTCATGTAGCAATGATTAAACTATAAAACACCATATATGAAATTTGGTTAACTTCTCTCTTCATAGCCTCACAGGCGGGGCTTTCATCTTAGTATTAATAGCTTGCTTTAGGAAGTGATAAGTGGAACCTGTATTTATGATTTTTTGATTAGTTCAGAGAGGTAAATGCAAATTTTGAATTATCTCTAGGTGTTATCTTCAGTTGCAGGGTTCAAGTCCTATATCAAACATGGGGTGTATGTGTATAATTTTGACTTCTTATGTCTTCCAACTTTGAGGGAGCAGCCTTTAGGTCTGTTAACTGAATTGTGCCTTCGGCCTCTGTATCATTAACCTCCTGCTGTTCAGCAGCTAGGTCAGTCAAATTACCCGAATTTTCTTCCAGCAGCATAAAACATTTTTCGGTCAGATAGGCTCGAAGTCTGGATAAACTCTTCAATAGGACCAGCCCCCTTTCCCCTTGTTTGGTGAGTTGCTTATTCATCATTCATTTCTGTCAAAACAGCCTTAGTATCTGACCTTTGCACAAACACGGTGGTCAGTCACTCAAATTATTTACAAAGTTCTTCTATGTCCCTAGGGGTCACTTCTTTCTCCCAGGTATTCCCCTTAGGCATTCCGTGAATATTGCCAGCAATCAGCCTTATGGGGCCGACATCATCCTCATAAAGTTGTGCATCAGCCAAGTTTACACTTGCCACAAACGGCTGATTATCTGCCCATATAATTTCGACCTCATCTCCATTCCAGAAAATCAAGAATTGATGAAGTGATGATGGAATTCCACAATTAGGATGTAGCCAGTCACGGCCAAGCAAAGCATTATAGGCCGCACCAGTCTCTATTACAAAGAACGCCACCACTGAGGTCTTATTGCCAACAGTTTTTTCTAGAGACAGAACCCCTTTTGCTGGAGTAGGAGCTCCAGTAAAGCCGCTGACAGTGAGGTCAGTTGGCATAAACTCATCTTCAGTCTTGTTCAATAATTTAGCCACTTCTTAGGGGGAGATTCTAAGCTAAGGATTGTACTGGTCAAGTTGACTAGTCTCATGAAACCTGACATTTAACATTTTAGTGACATCTTAAACAAATGTACATAAGTGGCATTTGATGTACATCTTCCTTCCTTCTGCACCCCAATCCCCCTTCTAAGAAACCATTCTCACTCAACAAAGCTTTGTCTTGATTTTTCAGGCTTATTTACATGAATTATGTTTTACTGTTTGCACCATGTTTGGAGCCAGTTTTATTCTAACCGAGTGACGGACAATTGATTTCCTATTCATGGTGATTTAAAATATTCCGAACAGATGAATAATGTTCAGTCACTCGGGAAGTTGGCCTACAGCTTTTATTTTCCATTTCAGCAGCAAATAGTATGATGTGTTAAGTGTTTATTACCTGGGGATCATCCTACCTTCATCATAACTGTTAATATTTTATAATTTGAAATTTAAATACCTTTATTTGAATTCTAAGCTGAATGACTTGGCTGTAAATTTACATCCCTGTTAGAAAAGTCTATTAATTATCACTTTTATTATAATATGTGATATATGATTTAAAATTCATGTATCAAAAAATAAAAAATAAATTCATGTGTTATGAAATGCTTTGACTGTTGAAGGTAAGTGTAACCTAATTGAATGAAGTAATTTTCACTATCTTCTTAGATATCTGTATTTCGTATCATCTTCACCTCAATCAAACGGGACTTACAGAACTGTGTATTTGATTTCTTTTTCAGGATGGACCACCTGACAAGTAATTGCTTTTATGCTTTTCTGAATGTCAGATAATACTACAAATTGAGAGCTTAAGTATGAAACACATACTGAACATAACAACATTAGAAAAGTTCATTTTGCTCATATGAAGGAAGACTTCTTCGTTCATTTTTAAAATGAAAGCTTGATCTAAGGAGATGCTGTTGCATGTTATTTGGAATGTTTAGAATCTCGTTTAAAGAATAAAATTAACCATAAGATGCTTGTTATGGGTTTCTTAGGTGTATCATAAACGACGAGTAGTTATAACATGGATCGTGTTTGACGTCTTGCAATTCTTTTGTTTTTTATTCTTTAGAAACCATTGCCTGAACTCGTGATCATTAATAACATTTACTACTTTCCTACCTGTTCGATGCATGCCTAATATTTTATTTTACAGCATGTTCATATTTGACTTCTTTCAATTCTTTTGTTTTTATTCTTTAGAAACCATTGCTTACATTCATGATGATTAATCACGGTTACTACTTTCCTACCTGTTCGATACATGCCTAATATTTTATTTAACATTTATCTAAGCAATGAATGGGAAACTATCAACATGACTACCTTTGCTGAATTTGCTTGTGTGTAGGCTGTGACGAGTCTTCTAAACAACGAAAGTGTCTCTGATATTGATCGTCTGCGCCTAGTGATGTTGTATGCTTTGCGCTATGAGAAGGAGAGTCCCGTTCAACTGATGCAGCTTTTCAACAAGTTGGCTTCTCGGTCTCCTAAGTATAAGCCTGGGGTAATGGAACTAATTTAAGCCTGCCATGCCACATCATGTATGCTGACTCCCTTGTTTGTGTTGCACACCTACACGTATGTTGGTTGGTGCATGCATGTTAAGTGGGTCATAGTCACCCACTTTTAAAAGTTAGCAATATCAACGATGGTGGTGTATATTCTCTGATCACATTAATGTTCTTTTTTTGGTAAAAAATTTTTGGGAATATAATTTGGTAATTTCAGGATGAAACAATTTCTTTATTTTGTATAAAGAAGCCTCCAAATTAAATTATTTATTTCCCCTTTCAAAAGTTCAATTTTTTGTTTAATTGCTTTTCAAATCATGATCACTTTTCGCTCAATCTCAATTGCGCGGACCACAGTCAGATATACAAAGAATTGTTATGCTCATTGCTCCTGGCTACATAAGAATATAACTAAGTTTGTTATCTTTGCTGGTGTGACAGCTTGTGCAATTCCTATTGAAGCAAGCAGGTGTCGATAAGCGTACCGGGGATCTTTTTGGAAACCGAGATCTCTTCAATATTGCTCGTAATGTGGCCCGTGGGCTCAAGGTATATTGGAAAAAGAATTGTACTTTTTTCCCTTTCCTGTCTTGGGAACAAAGTTTCTGGATGCTGAAAGATTGGTTTCTCATTGTTGCAGGGGGTTGAGAATGTGTACACCCAACACCAGCCTCTTCTCTTCCAAACCATGGAAAGCATAACGAAGGGAAGGTTGAGAGATGTAGAATACCCATATGTTGGGAATCACTTTCAGCAGGGCAGGTTTGTTACTATGAGTTACTCTCTCTTAGTTACTGGTGTGGGATCTATGTTTTCTTTCTAGATCAGGCGAAAGTCCTTTTGATGTTCCAGTTGGAAGCATCCACGGTTGTTAGACTTGATGCAGTTTGCCTTTCACTGCTAGTCTGCTAGGGTTTTGATGCTGGAAGATTCAAGTAATATAGAAGTATAATCTATTTAGTGACCAAATTAATTTAACTAAAGGAAGAAAAAAAATTCAGATGGTTAGACTACTGTTTTTTTCTAATGGTTATGATTGGTATAATAAAGGGTAAGGACACAACAACATCCTGATTACCAACTGTGCAGGAGCAGTGTTATTAGCCTATGCACGCCTAGGCTCGAGATGCAGGTATAGCGCCTGTTGTCATCCCAAGCTCATTGATGTTTACTAGGCGCGCGCCTTGGTTGCGCCTCGTCCTGTTTGTCAAGTGTGCCTCACTGATTTTTTTTTTTTTTTATTTTATAAAAAAACTATGATTATTCTATTTCTTAAGCCAAAAAGGGTACTTTTGGCAACTTAATAAACAAATAAGAAAGCCCAAGCATACGAGAGAAGAAATTTTTGTTCAAAAGAATAAGCAAATAAGAAAGTCCTAGAGTCAAAGTGTCAACCGAATAGAGAAAGAGTGAGATGAACGACGAAGCCCTAGTTGCAGAGATGAACGACGAGGCAACGTCAGTTCTTTCTTCTTCGTCTCTCTCTTCTCCTTTACTCCTCTCTTCTTATCTTTGTTTACATCTCTCTCTTCGTCTAGTTCTCTTCTCTCTATCTTTTTTTTTTTTTTTTTTTTTTTTTTGGGCTCTGTTTTTTCTCCTTTTTTTCTTTAACACTTTCTCTCTCTTCATCTACTTATTTTGTCTCTGCATCTTATTATTATTTTTTGGCTATGCACTTTCTTTTCTTGTTAACAAATATATATATATATATATATATATATATTTCTGGTTAACAGATATATTTCTTTTTGTGCTCTGTTTTGCCATTCAAAAATACAAATTCTGCTTTGCCTTTCAAGAAAACAAATTTGTGCTCTGTTTTATGGTTGTTGGATGCTTGTTTAGTGGATGGATTTACTTTTTTATATTTGATATTAATTTTTAGAATATTGATATGACTTATGAGATATGATGTTTCCTTATGTTAGTTTAAATTTTCAATTGTGCGCCTCACCTCATTTAGGCGCGCGCCTCGCCTTGCGCCTCGCGCCTAGGCTCCAAAGGACCTTTAGCGCCTAGGCTCCAAAGGACCTTTAGCGCCTTGGCCTTGGGCCTTTAATAACACTGCGCAAGAGCAACACCCAATAATTCGCCAATCCGACGAGAAATCTCTTTTTATTTTCTTAATTGGCAGGTAGCACATACCCACCTAACTTACACCCAACATTGCCCCAATGAGGGCATAAACCCTCAACCTCTCGTGTGAGGAGGAGATATTGCTTGAGGTAAGGGTTGGTGAAAATATATCAAAAAATTATTTGTAATTTAATCAGAATTTTTATTTTTATTTTTATTTTGGTTGAGAATATCTCCAACTTTCAATAGAGGATAAAGAGTGAGAAGGATTGTAAGTGGCCTAACTGAGGCAAGCTGCATGACTATGGACTTTTCATCTATTGCTATATTAATGCATGATGGCGGGCCCTACTTAGTACCTAGGGTGGTTGATTTGATCAAGTTGTCAAACATCTTTAAGAGTCTAACCTCAAATCTTTTGTGAGCAAAGGTGCTGCTCAATTCTTTTACCTATATAGCTTACCTCATCCTTCTCTTGATCATTTCCTATTCCTGGGTAAGGACCATTATTCTTTTTTTCAGAGCTAGCAGATTTTAAACCAAATTTAGATACAAGATAACCTTTATTGTGAATTTGATCAAAGAGAGGTTGTGTTTGCAAAGAAACAAAATGTGTTAGGAAGTTTTGGCATATTATTCATTTTTTATTTTGGTAAGTAGAACTTCTGGTATATTATTGTCTCACATATCTGACTGTGGCAGGCCACAGGAGGTAGTGGTGTTCATTGTTGGAGGGACGACATATGAGGAGTCACGTGCAGTTGCTTTACAAAATGCCACCAATTCCGGGGTTCGCTTCATACTTGGTGGTTCTGCAGTCCTTAATTCGAAGAGGTCTGTTGCAAGTAATCATTATGCTTTACAAAGAAACACTAGTAGGGATGAAGAAAAAGTTTATTGATGCTGGTAGGGCATGGGATTAGCATGGGTTTGCTTATCCTGATACACCCTTCCTTTTCTTGCACTAAGGCCCAGAGTTTAGAATCTAGTTCTAGGGTGGGGTTTGCATTACATTAAGTTAGGAATCTGCAAAATTTGTTTTGTATGGTTACATACCCTCAAGTTGGCTTCAAGTTTCCCCCACCTAAAGTGTCCACATGATTTCTTGATTATTTTACTTAATATTTCTAATTATAAGAGTTCCCATTTCCCCCTTAGTTTTACCTTTGCATAAGATATTATCCGATGCCATTTTTATTTTGGTTGGAAATGTAGGTTCTTGAAGGACCTTGAAGAAGCGCAGAGGATTGCTCGATCCACTGCCAGTGTGGTCTGAAGTTTACGTCTTGCCACACCTAGCATCTTAGAAAAGGCATCTGAAAAGTGCTAGCGGCTTTATATGGGATCTGTGTTCCTCCAACAATGGTATATACTCATTTGACACTGCGTGGGAATTGAAGTGAGATCTTCAATCGGCTCATAATATCGAATTCCGTTTTTACTTATTTGCATAGGAGTAGGGAGGGAACACAGTCTGGGGTGAACGGCTTGAAGACCAACTCCAACTTGGAGGATTAATCTTACATTAGAGTTAGAGAATATTGTGAGTTCACTTTCCGGATAAAAGAAATATATGTTTAACTTGTTAAGGATCCTTTTTGTCTTCTTTTATACGTTATTGTTGTATGTATCCTTGTATAATAATGATTTTTTGAAGGAAAAAATAAAAAAAGAACTGACACTAGGGGCAATTATTGCATTGGAAACGTTTTGCTGAAGTTTGAACATTCTGCAGTTTGATCAGGGTGTTATCAATTGCTTAAAAATGTTTATGTTGCTCTAGTTCCATATTTCTATAACATGCTTCTTGCTAGGTTTCCCATATAGTGCTCTATAATAGTACTATTGGTTTATAATGTTAACATGTGTGGCTATTTAGTGTTTTCCTTGCATGTGTGGTTATGATTGGTTGGTCTATGTAGTCCCAGATCGTATAATAATTTCTCAATTTGTAGACATCTGGTTGAGTTAAGTACGGAATTTCTTGATTTGTAGACATCTGGTTGAGTAAAGTAGGGAGTCGTCCTCTTCCTCAGTGAGTGGAGACAACTTTATGTGATCTAGGTTCATTAAGGTTGTTTAATGGGGTTAATAGACAATATATGAAAAGTTTCTGAAATTTGAATTGTGAGGCTCTCCTTAACAAATGATGATGACTGTGTCAAGACTCGAGAGCCTAAGTGAGCAAATTTAATGTGCCAAGTGTAACCGAACTTAATTAATTAATTAATTTATTTATTTATTTTGGGGAATAACTACATAATTAGAAAATTAGTGGTTATGAGCTTATCCAGTGAAAGACAAGTCTGTGCCAAGAAGTATTCAACATAATGCTTTTTTAGATCATGAGTTTATCCACTGAAGATAAGTATGTGCTAAGAAGTATTCAAAGATATATAGAAGTCCACTGCTCTAATTAGCATATGAAATCAAGCAATCTGTATGCTACCTACCAAAAAATAGAAGATAATTTTAAAAAACTAGGTCTTACTGGATTTTGTTTTTCAAGATATTAAAAAAAATAAAACAGTACAAAATTTCATTTTTCTGAGAAATTTTATTAATCAAAATTAAATTAGAAAATACTTGTTTTCAGAACTTGAGACTTTTAGCTTGTGAGAGATGAATCACAAGAAGAAATAATTGCACTTGTATGGTAAAGTAGCTTGAAAAATTTAATGTGGCCATTCCCATTTAATGATGAAATGTATTGGCATGTGCTTGTAAATTGCCTTCTCCAAAAAGAAGAAAAAGAAGAAAGAATAAGGCAATGACAAGATTGTTTTTGAGTTCCTTTACGTTAATATTACAAGATTCATAATAGAAAGCTACTTGTGTTTATGACATTTGCTTTATAACAAAACAAGCTGAGCTAAAGCTTACCTTTTACCTAAAAAAAAAACCAAGCTGAGCTATTTATATACTTGTATTTATAATATATATCTACATTAAAGGGAAGGATTGAAAAAAAAAAAAAAAAAAACACTCTATATGAAACTGAACTCTGTACATTGTTTTGTTTTCTTCAAACATTCTCTCTCCTCAGGGAGACTTCATGTTATCCAAACCATAGGAACCCTGCAACATTAAAAGCGCATCAGAAGATATATATATATATATATATATATATATATATATATATATATATATATATATATATTCCTTATTGGATCAGAAGAATTATTAGAAGATAACATAGCCATAATGATCACTTGATGATGAAGAACAAGTTATAATTGTGTCAAACAAGGAATAAGGTGGATGAATAGGGTTACCAAAATGGAGTGGATATTTTCTAAGAGAGGCACCAGTAATGAGATCAAAGCCTTCATTTCCTCTTTAAGCTTTTCACGGTCTTCGTCTTTCGCCATCATAATATTCATTAATGTATTGTTATCAGGCACTAGTTTGATTGCTACCTGCAAACAATACATATATATATATATATGTTTGTGAAATTAATATGCCGATCAATCAAGAATTACTTGTGATATTAGAGGTCTTTGTAAAGAATTTGTGAAATCTTGTTGATACAGGCCAATTTCAATGTAATGCTTGTTCAATTATATTTACAAGCTACATGATTGAAGGATGATCATCAGAAGCTTACTCACAAAAAAGAAAAAGAAAAGAAGCCACAACAACATCATGCTCAACTCTATTGAGAGGTTTATACATGGCTTTAACAAAGCTCAACTGAGCGAGAAATACTTTAGGATATTGATGACACAGTATTACTAATGGATTAAATGCTAACAAGTAGTGATAAGACTAGCTAAAGTAAGTGTACTGTTATTTATGTGACAAACTATAACTGATTGATAACACCGACGACGGGACACATTACTGTACACGAAATTCTTTCTCCAACTAAGGTAAACTTAAATAATCTAATGTTTGGGCTTCAAGTACGCCCTTGTTGTTACAAGGGGTGTTTGTTCCATATCGGATTCCGATGAATGGGTATAAATGGGTGGGTATGCAATACTACCTAATAGCTTAAGATTTTGAGTAAATGGACAAACGCTCACTCATTACAGTTGGTATCAGAGTCAAACCTAATCCTTGATCCGGTGTCAGGCCAAACTCTCGGCCTAGAGGGTGTTCAGGTCTTCACCCAAGGTAGGTAGGGTGGTCCGAGGCGCAACAAGGACGTTGCGAGTTCGGAGGGAAGAGAATGTTACAAGAGGTATTTGTCTCATATTAGTTTCGGATGGAAAATGAAATGTGTATAAATGGGTGGGTATGTAGCACTGCCTAATATGATTAAGCTTTTGAGTAAACGGGCAAGCACCAACCTGTAACACTTCTACGGAAAAGAAAGAAAAGAAAAAGGAAGTTGAAGCATAGATATACAGAGAAGTGTATAATTACTTTATATGCAGCTGAAGATATCCATCTATGCCATGGCTTTAGGGTGATGTTGTATGCCTCTTCCACTGCTTGCTCCATAGTCTCTCCTGAATCCTTCACTAATAATTGTAATAGATTGACCATAAAATCCATTGATCTGCAGAGTAATACAATGTTTAGAATTTTACTTTGAAAAATTTGAGCATATCTAAAATGTCCTGGCCTTGCACAAAACCACGGTCTCATTGTTTCATTTTACCTGATAAGCCAAACAAGGGCTCTACTACAGCTGGTGTTATTTCTGGCATTGCCTTCAATAGCCTCTTTCTTCAATATCTCAACCAAATTTGAGTACAGTGAAGGATCAGATTCTAGGATCTTCTCCAATCTCTAGGAATGAAATGAAAGAAAGCTAAATACATGGGCTTGAAATTCCATAATTACCCTAATAAAATTAGAATAAGAGAGACAATCACATCAAATATATATATAAAGGGCTCTCTTGTTCATGCATGAAAATTTTGTAGGGAATAACAGCTGCTTAAAATGACAAATATATACAATCTCTAATCTCTTTTCAGTTATTTAATTATAATGCCTTGATTTTCATGTACCTGAATATTCTGATCAATGTCTTGCCTGAGAACAGTCATTGTTGGCCCTATTTTATCTGCCAAAAGGACCAAAAAGGACAAAACAAGAAAAAGAAAAAGAAAAAGAAAAAAAAAGAACATACAATTAAAACATATGTAGCACTAACCTACAGATAGTTAAGGTTTAGATTCTGATGATTTGAAAATTTAGTGAAAGAAAGACAAAAGGAAAACAAATGTAAAGGCAAATGAATTCTTATATTTAATTTCTTGTTTATTTGATATTAGAAATTTAATTTTTTTTTTATAAAAAAGTTATTAAGTGACTTGCAAAATTAAAAAATTCTCTTATTTTCCCCACAAAATATACATTTGCCTAACCTGTTTTTCATGATATACAAGTAAAAAATTATAAAAAAGATAATTCCTTTTGCCTTTAATATATATATATATAAATATGTTGATCGATCACAAGAACAATAATGCTTAGCCATGTCATAATTTGAGATATATGTACATATATACATATATAGAGAGAGAGTCAACCAAGAACTTGAATGACCAACTTGCAGACAAACAGAAAAGGCTTGGCGGGGATATGGGCATCAACATCATCATCATCAACATCAGGTTTAACCTTCACCACCACCGTAGATAGCTCTTCTATGGCAGACCTTATCTCTGAACTCGGTGTCTCCGCCTTCTCGATTTCTCTCCTCTTAATCATCTATTCTTTTCAAAAGACTCTCTCCTTTTCTTCTTGATTCTTATATGTTCCTTCCTGTTCCTAGATATATATCACTCTCAACTAGGTGTATCTAGTTTCATATTAATATGTTAAATTTGATATACATATACATATATTATATATATAGAGAGAGAGAGGATAGGAGCTTGGCTTTAAAATTTGCATTATTCACAAGAAACCTGATCAGGTCTGAACTAAACTATATATATTAATTTCTCAAATTTGTATTCTAATATTCATAGGATATATATATTCTCTTTGATATATGATTAAGGCCTTATGTTTCACCTTGAAGTTATCGTCTACCAGCTATCCTCTTACTATTACTTTTGTATATAATCCTTCATTTTTTGTATCTACTTAAAGTGATCAGACCACAAAAGGAAAATGATTAATTGATCAGTTGAAACAGTGACTGAACTAAAAATAGAGACATTTTATAATTTTTTTCTTTTTCTTATTTTGTTTTTTTGCAAATAAAAAATATATGAAGTCCGTTCTTGGGTACTAGATGGCAGTTGCAGATCGGTCGGTAGTTATTCCATCATAAACCATGCCGTGGGGCAATACATACATATATATATATATATATATATATATATATATATATATATATCAACTCACATATGCAAATATATGCTTAGGGTTTGACATTTCATGCAATGAATTGAATATCTTAAAATTTTATTTTATTTTATTTTTTATTTTTTTATTTTTTGTCCAAGGCAAAGACAACCACAACACAAGCAACCAAACAACAAAAACCCACTAAGACCCACCATCTGCCACCACAAAAGGGACAACAGAAGGAGGAACAGAAGACAACCACTGATCCGACACAAGCCCAGACCGCGAAAGAGCGGCCAAAGCATGAGCCACCCGATTACACTGACAGCGCACATGAGTCAACTTACCCGATGCAAACTGTCGCAAGTCCCGAGTAATATCAAAACAGATAGAAGCAATATCAGACGGGCAAGACACTGCACATAACACCCTGTCCATCACAACTTTAGCATCCAATTCAAACCATAAGTAAGAGAAATGCAAATCTATAGCAGAAAGAATCGCACGCTGACAGACCAACGTTTCTGCCTCCAAAGTTGAAGCAGCAGAGAAAAGATGAAAAATAACGGCGCGAAGTACTGTACCCCTAAAATCCCGGAAAATAGCAGCACCATCCCCTTGCAGAGACTGCCGACAAAAAGCCGCATCAAAATTACATTTAACAAAACCAGATGGAGGGGGACACCACGAATCCACCAACTCACCAGCCGGCCTTGGTTGCGCGGAAGAATAGAGGAAACGAGCATCATGAAACTCCCAAAAACTGACAATAACCTTTTGCACCACAACCTTGGGCCGCCATAAAACCCCCTCAAAGACCAACCGATTCCGGGCCTTCCAAATACCCCAAACACAAAAGGAGATCAGACTAAAAACATTCGCAAAATCCGAGGATACCATAGCCTTATGCACCAGAAAACTCCAACCTACCCGGAACGAAGAAAAAGACAAATCTAAAAAATCAAAACACATCGGAGAATCATAAGAATCATGAGAATCATTCATGACTACTTAAGCAATATCTTAAAACTCTTGTTAGCATTCATGAGAATCATGACTACTTATATATATACATACATATATATGCTTAGGGTTTGACATGTACATCTGATGCAAGGAATATTGATCTTAAACACATGTTAGCATTCATGAGAATCATGAGTTCATAACTACATGTATGTTTGCATAATCGTATAATTAAATACATATTATTGCTTTGGACTTCCATGTTATTTATTGGTAAAGTATAACCACACCCCCTGAGATTTGGCAAAAGGACAGATAGATGAGAGATGCTCATTTTTTGAATAATGACACCCCCTCTTCTGAAATTCCATCCAAACAAGGCCTTAAGTCATATAAAAAGACAAAATTATCCCTTAATATTAAATTCAGATATATTACAAAATATTAGACCTTGCAAAATGACATAATAGTCCTTATTCATTTTTTCTCTTATCCTCTTCCCTATCACACGGTTCACCCTCTCTCTCTTTCTCTTTATCTGCAAACATATATATATATATATATATATATACACACACACACACACACACTCACAGGCATATATATACACACACATTATAACACTACCACCAACACCGACGGGGAAGGCGCAGGGGTCGTCGGCCGCCGCCGCCACGCCTCAGCCTCCCTCATCACCACCACACCTACCTACACCGCTTTCCTAGAGTGGCGCCACCGCATCCCCCAACGATAACTATAACGAGTCGAGCCGGTCGGCCGATCCCTCTGCCGCCAGATCTGGGTCGAATTCGAAAGATGAAGGCTCTATGGGGTGACGGAATTGAAGGATGAAGGCCGCCGATCCATTCACTATTGCCGCCTATATATATATGTGTGTGTATATATATGTATCTGTATATACATACATATATATGTATGTGTGTGTCTGTTGGTGTTGGGGTGAAGGAAGAGAGAAGGTGAGAACAGTGATTTCGATCTGATGATGCCCTAAGTAATTCCAAGGCTGATTGTTAGAGAAGAAAGCTAAGATAGATTCAATCCGGACAATAAGGGTTCGACTTTGATAGGTAACCTTAGTCAAGTGATTAAAGGTTCCGAATTAGCTATAAACCCAGAAGAGCCCTCATTTAAATAATCATCTTTGCTGATCAATTGTAGAAACCCAGTTGGTGAAGGGGAACAAAATGGGCATATACGGGACCCTCTTTGTTTCACACAAAAAAGGAAAAATAGCGTATCATGCATTGTCATCACCACCACCATGACAATGGATTCAAGCACCACCATCATGACAATGATGATGAGGCGGCGGCTGAGGGGTTCTTTACACAGGGTGTCGGGCGGCAATTATGTACTGTGTTTATGTGTGTGTGTGTGTGTACACATACATACTTACATACAGAGAGAAATGGGTTTGGGTTTGGATTTGATCCAAGGGTATTTAAGTCAATTAAAATATCAATTTTATATCAAAGGGTAATAAAGTCAATTCACCATTGTCAGGGTCTCTTTGTCCATTTTTCAAACTTGAAGGGGTGTCATTGTCCAAAAAATGAGTCACTTTCACATGTGTGTTATTTTACCAAATTTCAGGAGGTGTGGCTGTACTTTATCCTTATTTATAATACTATAACTATAGTTATTTTTATTTATTTATTTATTTTTAATTCTGACAAGAAATTCAAAGACCCACAATACCCTGTTTAGGGACTTCAGCTTCAACCTTGGACTTTAAAAAGTAAAAAAAAAAAATTGTTGTTAAACAACAGCCCTTAATTATACCTGTAATTATTTGGATTTGTTCTTCTTTGTTATGTTCTTTTTGATAAGTAGTCATGATACAGCATTTATGATGGTTTTAATATTACTTCTACTTGCATCACAATCAATATATCCATAGAATGAAGTCTACAATTCCTTATGGGCTTAGATATCATAAAAAATAGGACGAACTAATTGATATGGCTTTAGTGGCAAGTTACTTTGGCTCGATGTATCATGAAACATCAAATTTTAAGCTCGGACTCTCTTTAAGTGCAAATGACCTTTTGAGGTCATGATCGATAGTAAAAGTCCGAATTATTAGACGGGGCAAAACTGGGATGCTGTGTGTATCTGCTACTCTGACGGCTAAGAATAGATTTTCTTTTTCTTTTTATTTATTTACTTCATTTTTTGTATTACATTATTTTGAATTAAGTCAATCTCAAATGTCATTTCTGCAATCCGAAGTTAGATGCTATGTAGGCTTCAACCAATCACATACATTGCAGTGCATGTATGTATATGTTTGATAATAGGAACAAATTAACAATGTTATCTAAAACACCAGCTCGAGGGACTTACTTTAAAAAACAAGATAAAAAATTATGGGGTTTTTTTTTTTTTTTTTTCGGTAAACTTTGGATGCATAGGATGCGAACCTTGTTCTAGAAACAATTGCCAACATTTAACAATTTAATACTAAAAATGCTTTTGCAGATCAACAATGATCCAATGACATAGTTAAAACAATATCTTTTGTGTGTAATTATTAAATAAGATAAGATGATAGTATATAGTTATTTATACCCAACTTGAAGTTATTGAATAATATATATATTCAACCATTGCACATATACATATTTATATGCATAAATACATATATTTATATACACATATTCGTCTCTCTCTAAGTTACATGGATTGACATTGAAGATAAAAAAAAAATGCAAGATTTCAAGGTGTGAACAAGATATATTCCCTAAGAACCATTTTGATTCAAACGAATCAAAGAGACAATGAATACGTAGGATACTATTTTCTTGGGACCATTAATGGTACAACTTAATTGTATTAATTAACACTAATCCTTGACTTTGTGTTTATTTAATTTATCCAAACAATTGTTGTATGAAACAATATAAATCATAGTAAGTATATAAAACAAGTCGCACATGATGTATGACAAGGTGTTCTTATGATTTCAAAAATTAAGCAGACACAAAATCTATTAATAACTGATCAAATAATAAATAAAATAAAATAAAAAATAAAAATAAAATAAAATAAAAAAACTGATCAAATGGGGCTAAGTCGCTATCAATTACATCATCTATATAGATTGTCCCAATTTTACACCCTAAATATAATATATCAAAGGTTATAGTTTAGTGATACTTTCTCATTTTTTAAAATAAAAAGTGAAAGGTTCAAGTTTTCGTTGAGGCATGTGGTTGTATGTGTTTGTCGCCAATAAAAAATAATATATATAGATAGCACTAACGGTGGCAGAGACTGTTTGAGATGATTTTTATGCCCGTAGGGACTACGGGCATGGAGGTGCATGTGTCTCTTGCCAAATTTTTGTATAAAAATTACTGTCTGAAACATACTTTTATCGAATCTTGTTGTATTTTAGAAGGTTAAAAACATACTACATTTTTACACTCTCTCTCACAAGCTAACTACTTGTCACCACTCAGATTAGAAGCAAGCTTATTAACTAGTTCAGTCCAGTAAGTATATTGTAGTAGATTCAAGCAACATTTCTTCGTGTTATATATATATATATATATATATATATATATATATAACTCCTATAAGCAGCCTAGCATAACACACACAATTTGAAAGGGTTATACTTTTACCAAGCCCAAAATAGAGCCCATTTGGTGGCCACTAAGGCTTCAATGAGCAACTGGCCCATGAGCTGCTGGGCTTGCCGTGCCAAACAACCAAGCAGCTGTAGAAGTTGAGGGGAGGGTAAACCATTAGCACCAGTATGCAGGAATGGATTCATTGACTATATATATATATATATATAATACAAAATAAAAAAATATATTTTTTAAAGTATATATTTTGGTTAAATTGCAGAAAAATTCAAAAGGGCCTTCTAAACAAAGGAAAAATGGCAAACCTTCCCCCGACACGGACACGATACGAGTTATCTGTGCTTTATAGCCCCTAGTAATAAATTTGAAAAGATAAAATAAAATAAGTACATAAAATACCACTAAAGACCCAAACCAACTAAATACATTCAGTATGATACTGTTTTATTTGGATTAACTAAATTTTTGACCCAAATCAACTAATTACACTTCTTTTTTGGTTTGGAATGATTGTTACTAAGAATGACAATTCGTGTTGGAGGATCGACCTAATTTTATTATGTTGTATACATTAATCCAAATACATCTCGTTTAATAAATCAGCCGTATGACTCACAATATGACACGTTTTACCGTATTTAAGTTAAATAGGTCATGTAATCTGTTTATTTTAAATATAATATAAAATATAAATATAATAAAAAAATGACATAATGGATGACTAAATTTTAAAAAATGAAGCTAATTAAAACAATATAATACAAAAAGAATAAATATAATATTTATATTGAGTTTATATTGAAATAATAAAAATACCCATATAAATTGAGTTAAAATAGATTACAGATTAATCTAGTTAAACTTATATAATTGTGACACAATTTATTTATAAATGAGTTAAACTCCTAAACACAAACAAAACACAATTACTTAAATGAGTTGAGACAATTATGACACGATAACTATTAAAGTCAATCAAACCGTTAATTTCGTGTTGTATTGCCTACCCAATTTTGTTAGAAATTTTTGTACTAAAAGGAAGAACTTAAAAAGTTGCAATAGTAGTGTACTACCTTCTTCTGTCACCGTCCACCTTCTTGGTGGGTTCCACCTTTTGTATTAATATTGATGGATGTATATATAATTCATGACAGCTCCACCAAATTTAACTCATGGTTTCACCGACGATTTTGGATAGTCACTAAAAAGATTTCATGTAGGCATCAAACTCCCTTGAATTATGGCACTACCTAAATACCTCAATTGCAACCGTAGGTTCATTTGGAAAGTAGTAGAAAACATGATTTTTCAGAGAAAAATGAGAGGGAAATGGGAACTATAAGTTAGGCAAATCCTCATTGACGTATTTGTATACGAATACTTTGTAGTTCAGCGACTGGATTGCCCTTCGTTATTTTTGGGAGTTTGATTTTGAACTTTCCAGCTTTAATACTTGTATTTTTTTTTTAATAATATAACATAATATTCTTGTCCTGAAAAAAATATATAAAAATAAAAAAATAAAAAATAAAAAATAAAAATAAAAAAAATTCCTAAAATTTCAGTCAATTTCCTGGTTAGTCCCTAACGGACGACATTCTAACTGAGGGGTAAAAAATTGAATAATACAAGAGGATTTAATATAAAATTGGAAGTTACGAGGGTTTTTACCTTGAGATAAAGTTTATGTCGTCATTGGTTTATTTTTTATTGCAATTTATCTCATTAAATATTGTGATAGTTGTATAAATTTGTTAAAATACAGTATTATTGCAATTTGCACCTATAATTTTTAATAATAATGTAACATAACATTCTTGCCCTAAAAAAAAAAAAAAAAACCCTGAAATTTCACTCAATTTCCTGGTCAGTAAGACAACATTCTAACAAAGGGGTAAAAAATCGAATAATACAAGAAGATTTAATACAAAATTGAATGTTACAAGGGTTTTTACCTATAATTTGGGTTTTATTTATTTATTATTATTGTAATTTATCTCATCAAATATTGTGATACTTGTATAAATTTGTTAAAATACAGTATTATTTTGGAAAAATGTGATGTTTGAAAGTCATTGTATTTTTTGCCATTATAAACCAAAAGAAACAAAGCCATCTCACGAATTATTAATGGGTTACACCATATTGCAATGTTATTCAATGCACATATCATCATATATGTTTTCTACACTCTCAAATTATTTTAGTTTTGTTCTTTACTGTTTCCATAACATCACCATTAAGATTTATGTCACTTTGCCCTTGTCATGTCATGTAATGTGAATCTTTTACATGACAAAAAACAATGCAAGCAACCATAGAATTGTATATTAATTTTGATAATATTAATTAATAGGGACAAGTTTGGTAGTCCTTATTAATTAAGATTTGGTGAATAAAGGGAGAGAAAGAGAAGGGTCTACCATATGAAAGTTACAAGACACATGACAATACAAATTGCTTTTTGGTGGATGAGTGCATTGTTAGCCATTAGAGACTGATAGATAGGGTACTTACAAACCATATATGGGCCCAGGAGGGTTTGACATCACATGACTAAATGCAATGTATCTTTCAGCAATAGGGTAGTATGATCTCTCTTTTTCTTCACTGAAAATGGATGTGGAGGGAATACTGGTCCATTTGCTTCTCTCTATTATTGCATGTTTTATTAGGCTCTTGCCAACCAAGATTTTGTCACCTCCATGGCTTTTTATCACCCTAGCTCCCTAGAGACAACACAACTTTGTGGGCTCCACAATCACACCTCTTTTCTTGGGACCCAATTTTTAAAAAAATTGCATTGCTTTATTGGCTCAGAGCCATGTCTGTGGATTTCTTCCTTATGAAGCATTTCTGTTTAGTTCTTCTATGCCCTTTGTGACGTGTACCACTGATAGAAGCAATTCTTGGGTTGCTGAGAAAGCAATTTGGGGACATTTTGATCATTAAATTCATTTCTGTATGAGAAATTGTTTGCTTTTATAATGTTATAGCTAATATTTAGATAACATGGTGTTTTAGATATTTAAAAATTACTGTCCTCTTTCAGATATTCAATCGTTCAAGTACTAACTTGACGGTCGGAGTACACCCAGCCGGTATTACGTTAGTGTCAGATTGTCACTTCTTCTCTGTCTTTGCAGGACTGTTGTTCAGTTCCGAATCATGCAGAATTTCGCCTCGACATATATATTTCAGCAGCTTAATGAGCTTTCTTTTCTTAAGATTGATGAAATATAAGCGGCTTTCTATGGAGAATTCTTTGTTCCACATGAGGACGGATTTGATTGTTATTTTCTTTCATTCATTTGATTTTTTTTTTTTTTTTTTTTTTTAATTTTTTCTGAAAGACTTTCACTTCAATTTGTAATCCATCTTTAATAGAACACATTTATATGATTATTGAGCTGGTATGAAATTATAAACTTTTTAACTCCAATCCTTGACTTTAGTGGGAAGTCATAAGAAGAAAACTGAACACATCCCAGATGAAACGAAGCATCGTAGATTTGCAAATTTACAATGAATATTAATTAAGTACCATTGCTACTTCATAATATTATTAATGTATACAAGTATTTCCTTACTTGTAAAGAATCAATCAACTCAAAATACTGGATTTTAGAGTAAGTAATATTAGGTAGGAGATATATCAAATCAGAGGTTCAGATGATCTCGAGAAACTAGAACAATGAGCTGCTGCTCTTGGATTGGGAACTACCTTCCCGGGAAAATTTGGCTTTTCGAAATCCTCATTTTCTTGCCTGATCTCGTTAAGCATTGCTGTGACATCTTTCATGGTGGGGCGTTCTTCTGGACAAGAATTCACACAGAGTAGAGCCACTCCAAGCACTTGAAGCATCTCTTGCGTTTGTGTTCCGGATCGCTGGAGCAATTGTTGATCAAGAATTGATGTGAATTCTTTGTGTTTTACGCGCAGTTCTTGGTTAATCCAACTGACAATGTGGGCTCCCTCTGGAATCCGCCGATCAGTTGGTTCCATTCCTGTTAGGACCTCTAGGAGCACAATGCCATAGCTATACACATCACTCTTCTCTGTGATCTTCAAACTGTATCCATATTCTGCAATTTATAACCACCTAAACTTAGCACTTCATGTAAAACTATTAAGACAAAATTTTAGGACTATAAATTGTCATGTAACAAGAAAAATTCAGTTCATAGAAGTTGTTAGGAATGTTTCAGAATGAAATTGACATATGATCATGGCCTAAAAGAGTTCAAAATTTGGGAATTTAATTGGGAATGAACTAAAGATGATTTCAAGAAGTTAGCAACAATGACTCAATTGGTCATCATGCATGGAATTGACTGGAAATAAAGTTTGCAGAAATGCTGAAACATATCTAGAAAGTAATTACTCTTTATATGATTCTCTAAGAAAAGAGAACATTTTCCAAATCTGCTTTTTAAAGTAGTACTAGTTAAAAAACATCTCTATCCAATAATTCAATCTAAAGCAAAAAATGCTTACCGGGAGCTATGTATCCGTAGGAACCTGCTACTGTAATGGAAGCTCTTGAACAGTCCGAAGAATTGACAAGCTTTGCAAGTCCAAAATCTGCAAGAAAAGCTTCAAACTGTGGTCCTATCAAGATGTTGTTGGTCTTGACATCGCGATGAACAATTCGAGGAATACAATCATGGTGAAGATAAGCCAGACCATGAGCAGCTCCCAGTATGATCTTATACCTTGCATCCCAATCCAAGAACACCCTCTTCTCATGGAGCAATCCAGCCAAACTTCCATTACTGATGTAATCAAACAAAAGCAATCTACTTCTTCCATTCTTGCAACATCCCAAAAGCCTAACTATGTTTTTATGCCTCACTGATCCTAGTATTGCAACTTCTGCAGCAAACAGGTCCCTCCCTGGAAGCTCGCCATTCTTTGTAGTCCAAAGCTTCTTCACTGCGACGACCTGTTGCATTGGAGTCTCAACGCGATAAACCACTCCTGAGCAGCCCTTTCCCACGATGTTTGAATCCGAAAGCTTTGTCACAATATCATTCACAGAGAAGTTCAGCTTTTGGAATGGGGTGATGTCCCATTCCAAACCATCTTCTTCATCATTTCTGTGAAGTGCAGCGCCACGAGCTCTGATAAATAAGATTACTACAACTGTCACAATAGTAGTAGTTGCAAATATAGCAAGCACAACAAGTATAGTGATATTTCTAATGGATTGGGTGCCATATAGATGGTGGTTTCCACCAATGTGGCAGTCACTTCTGTTGATGCAGAGCTCCGGATTACCAAGAAAAGCAGTGGGAGGGAGATCCTGGAAGAACTTTGTGTCGGGAAGAAAACCCGAGAAATTGTTGTATGAGACATTCAGGGAAACAAGATTGTCAAGACTGCCCAGTGCTCTCAGGCTTCCTGTTAACATGTTGTGAGAGAGGTCCAAACTGGCAAGCTTTGAAAGATTTGAAATGCCTTCAGGGATTGGACCTGTTAGAAGATTCCAACTCAAGTTTAACAAGATGTCTAAGCCTTGCAATTGACCAATCTCATCAGGAATTGTACCCCCAATCCTGTTTTGGCTAATATCCAACAACTGCAAATCTGTACAGAAGCCTAGTGATTTAGGAATTAAACTGGTGATGTAATTTCCTTTCAGTACAAGTTTGTTCAATGATATAAGCTTGCCCAAATTATCAGGAATTGCTCCTGATAGCTTGTTCATTGAAAGGTCTAAAACATTGAGTTCAAGAAGAGTTTCAAAAGAGGAAGGAATTAGGCCTTGGAGCTCATTTTCATGCAAATCAATCATCTCTAGTTGAGCGCAGCTGCCAATTTCCGAAGGAATTTCACCGGTGAATCTATTTTCTGCCAATTCAAGGAAGCTCAAACTATGCAACAGCCCAATTTCTGGTGGAATTTGGCCAGTAAACATGTTTGATCCCAGCCGTAGACGAATCAGGCTCGTGCAATTGCCGATTTCAGGTGGAAGTCCACCGGAAAGCTCATTTGATATCAGCAGCAATTCAGTCAGGTTCTTGAGATTGAAGAGAGGAGTTGGAACTGACCCACTGAGAGAATTGTGTGAAAGGTCCAATGCTTGAAGTTTGTGACAGTTGGCCAGCTCATGTGGTATGCTACCATGAAGCTGATTCTCCCAAGCAAAGAACAGAGAAAGCTCCTTCAACTTCCCAATGCTTGATGGAATTTCACCAGAAAACATGTTGTTGTCCAATTCAAGTTGCTTCAGCCTTGGAAAGCTGCCAATGAATTCCGGGATTTTGCCGGTTATGTGGTTGTCAGACAACAGAAGCTCCTCCAATGCACCTAATTTTGCCAGAGACAAGGGAATCTCACCAGACAGAGAATTCAGAGAAAAATCGACTACTGTCAGGCCTGAAGAATTCCCTATAGCTTCTGGGATGGTCCCAGTTAGCTTGTTCTGCCATAAAAGCAGCCTTTTGAGATTTTTCAGCAACCCCAATTCACTAGGAATTCCACCTGAAATTTGGTTTTCATAAACATACAAATTTTCCAAAGCAGAGCAGTTTCCAATTCCCAGTGGAATTTCACCAGAAAGATTTGCAGTATAGACTGAAAGTGTCTGCAGATTTTTCAACTCCCCTATACTATTTGGAATCTGCCCAGAAATCCCAGTATCTGCAAGGCCCAAAAAAACTAGTCCTTTGCAGTTTGATATCTGCATTGGGATTTCTCCATGAATCCCCTGGTTCCCACCGGCACGAAAAATTTCTAGACTCCATAACTGTCCTATTTCTGCTGGAATTTTCCCGGAAAGTTGGTTATCAAACAGCTCAAGCTGTTGCAGCTTTGAGCAGTTCCCGATTTCTGTTGGAATATCACCTTTTATTGAATTTGAACTAAGCGATAGTCGCTGCAGTTGGGATAATTTTCCGATTTCAGGTGGTATTCTTCCTGTTAGAGCATTGAAACTGAGGTCTAGAGTGACCAGTGATGAGAAGTTTCCCACTGAAGGCGTAATTTCTCCGGTGAGGTTGGTGTAGGAGATGACAAGGGTTGTGAGGAAGGTGAAGGAGATGAACTGAGTAGGGAAGGTGGTTGGAAGATTGATTGAGCTGATTGTGATTTCGGAAACAAAGCCATATCTGGTGCACTTGATGTAGTCCCATTTGCATGGGTTTTGATGGGTTGGATTCCAGGAAGAGAAGGAGGTTGCAGAAGAGGTTGAATTGAATGTTGAGAGCCATGAGAGGAGAAAGAGACCTTCTTGGTTCAGAGAAGAGATGGCTGGGAAGAGAGAGATGTTGAGAAACAAGAGGAACAATGTGATTTCACTGCTTGACATGATGAGGTTACAACTCTGCTACTGTTCTCTCTCCCCAGCTAATTAAATTTGCTTCAGTGTTATATCTGTCTAGCCTATTGGAATGTTAAAAATGCCCTTGGTATATGCCCACCCTAAAAAAAACAAAATTGGACTAAAAAAAAAAAAATATTCAATTTCGAAAAGCCTAATGTTATCAAGAGAGTTCACAGGCTCTTTATATTTAACTACTAAATTGAGACATTTTTTTTTTTTTTTTTAAGATGTGTGAAAAGTTAAATGAATCACTTAATATATTTTTCAATTCAGTGGTTAAATATAAAAAGTTTATGACTCTTCTTTTTTTTCTTTTTCTTCTTTTTCTTATTATTATTATTATTATTATTTTATGGCTCTTGGCTCTCTTAATAATACTAATGCAGTGATGAATATTAAGTTTGGCATAGAGATTTGTATCTAGTTATTATTTTTATTATATCGGTATATTTACGGAAAAAAGAAAATATCAGTATATTTTGACTTAGAATAATAGCACATGGTAGGGTACAATGCATTTTGTGCAAGAAGGCTTATTGGTTCTTTGGAAGAATGAGGGAAGGCAAAGGAAAATGCTAAACAATAATGTTGCTTTCCAATGGGAAGAAATTATACATGGTTAAAAATACTGAGATGAAACATGACAATTGCATCGTATTTAAGTAGGTACAAGAAAATACTGAAAACCGTTTTACAACGGAAAGAAATAATCGGTTAAGACTTGAAAGTTCTAATCTCTTGTTTTTTATGCTTATTACATAAATTTTTGCATACTTTATGGCGTGTGATTTCTTTAAATTTTGCTGTCCTTTTCATTAATGATGATAACGATGGTGAAGATTTTTGATGGTCAAGAAAATTGTTACACTATTTACGTTGAAAGTTGATACATGTTTCAAGTATATATGTTTAATTCGTAAAAATAGTGCTAAAAGAAAATTCGTAAAAATAAGTATGTTTAATTGCAAATACATGATATATTGCATCAAAATTAGCCATCGATGTACATTCTCATGATACCAAATATATATTTATACATAATACATTGTTATTTATAAGAGCATTAATAAAATCTTAGTTTGAGACCAAGGGCAATGAAGGAATTTAAATATTTGTTCAATTTAGGTGCTGCGCTGTTTCTGTATGGATAAGTGTTTGGACAGCAATTGTTGGAATATCGATATCTGAAGTTTTTCCTGTTAATTTTTTGTTCTTAATTTTGAGTTAAAATGCACAATCATTTAGCTAATGAAAATGACAAATCAGCTCCAAAAAGATAGATAGACATTACTACACCACAACCATTTTTATGCAATATATCTGTGATAAGATCTCAAATCCAGCTTCCTTTCATAAAGTTGTCCTTGTCATGAGAAACCCATTTGGCCATTTCTTTAGTTATAAACTTTAAATTTCCCTAAAAACCCAAAAAGAATTAATAAAAATTGAAAAATGATTCTTGTGCCAAATAGTTTGCGTGAATTGTTATACCTATTCTTTTAATTGATCAATTATGTAACAAATAAAAAAGTCCCAATTAAAAATTATTTGATTAGACAATTCACTGTAAGCATTATGTCACCGTGTAAGCATCACTACTCATATAGGCAAGGGCCAGGGGGCATGTGCCCCTGGCATATACTATTCCCTGCCTTTTCGAGCTATTTTGAACTGAACTTATATGTTATAATTCTGATTAATTAATATTATTCAACTTATTATTTGCAAATTAAAGAAAGGTGTCCAAATATACACTCCTTAATTATGATGTTCAAGATGGAATTAAGTTGGGTGAGAGTTAAGGTATTGGTTACATGTACCTGTTAATTGTGGAAATCAGTTGGTCAGAAAATTAAGGTGGGGAAAGCAATTTCCGACCAATGGTAGTGGGAGCTGAGTAATTTTTGCAATTATATCACTTGGCTTCTAGTTTTGATACCAACCCATCATCCTCACTTCCAATCTAACAGTCACAATCTATATCACAACTCTCTCTCTCTATCTCTCTACAATGCTCTCTCTCTCCACATTGTTTATACAATGTTATTGTATATATATATACATACACACATTTCCACCCTCTAAAGTTTAAATCATGAAGCATATAAACCTCCTTGAACTTGGATTTCCTCATGTTTAGGGATTCTCAACACTAATTCAACTTGCCTACGTCACGATGCAACGCATCTATATCATAATACAACACAGTTACATCACAAAACGTAACATTGCAAGTATTTTTTAATACGTTATGCATGCAACATAGTACATCTATATTACAACTCTCTCTCTCTCACCACATTGTTTATACAGTGTTAATGTGTATATAACTATATATATTTCCACCCTTTAAAGTTTAAACCATAAAGCATATACGTCTAGTTTTAGTATCCCAATCTGTTTCTGATGATGCTGACCTGCAAATAATGCATATATAAGCATATATATATATATATATATATATATATATATATATATACACATTTACCCTTCAATAAAAATATGTTAAGAGAGAAAATAAGATAGAGTGATAATTATAAGAAAAGTATTACAATTAAATTTTTTTATAATAGTCTTGCAACATAGTCTTGCATTTTTTTATAATAGATTTAGAGAAATGAAAATTTCTGAAGAAAAAAAAGATGACTCATCCGCTTACTAAATGAATAAATTTATTTCTTCCTTCCAATATTTCCTCCACCCCTCATCCTTCCTTCTTATTAAACGGACTATAAGTGCTACATTATACGTGCTCTAGCTTTAATTTTTCCTCTTCCTCTCCCACCAAACAATTAAATAAAACCAAAAAAGAAGAAGGTATGTAGCTTTAATATTATAATCACATTTAATTGATTCTGCCTCACTTTCCAAGCATATATGTAATTTAGTAGAAAAGTAAAGTTTTGATGCTTATTTCACTTTAATATTTTCCTGTAATTTACTTTAACTTGGACATTCTGATGCTTCGCCTATCATCTTTTCGCAAGTATATAATTAATTTGTTTTTCTATTAATTACGTAGCTAGCACTATATAATTATTAAAATCGTTCGGTAGGATTTTCTTGTTTGGGGATCATCAAATTGGAAACTGGAAATAAAAGTTAAAAAAAAAATAAGAATTCCGACTAGGAAGCTGATACTAGCTAGCTATGTATACCACACTTGGATGGAGAGAAACAACAGAGTTTTTAGAAACAAAGCACTACCTCCATTGCATACTCTCAATGTCATAGTCAACTCAGGATGAAACTTTTCTCGGTGAAATTAAGCATGTGCTCCTATGCAGAAACCATAGCCAATTAATGGAATTTTCCGTACCAAGCCTCCCACAGCAATCCCTTCCGGAATTTCCAGACATTCTAACCATAACAGGGACCCAGAAAATGGAGTAATATATTTTGGGTGGGCTCGTACTAATAATTTATTTATTTATTTATTTTTTTTTTTAATTAGGCTAAAATTACGGATCAGAATCACCTCCAGTCCAACAGTAGCTCATTTCCTCTTTTTTTTGTTAATGAACAGTTTCTACTAAGGTTGGTAAAAATGTTTATTTGTTTTATACATAATTTTCATATATATATATATATATATATATATATATATATATATGTATACACTGTTCACAAATACTATTTCTTCTTCCCCCTTTATTTTTAGCAACCCATTTCAACAACCCAAATTAATCCCGCCATTTTCTTCTCTCCCAAAATATTGATTTTGATTTCTTTCCAAAATTCCGTCATTTCAGCAACCCAGATCCCACCACTTGCTTAGATTTGCCCAAAGGTTTCAGAGAGAGAAAGTTAGAGAGAAAAAGAGATGTTTTTTTACTTATTATCTTCAAATATCGATAATTCTCTTTGATTTGTTTCCAAAACGAATCACAAACAAATTAGACATCTATTTCTCAATTCCGTAGTTTCCATAAATTTCTCAAATTTGTTTCTCCATTTATTTGTTTTCATAAATTTTTACTTCCCTTGCTTCGTATACCAGATCATTTTATTCCAAATTAATATAACAATATTAGAATAGAACAACATTTGGACTGACATGATTTTTTTGTTTAATTATTTGTGTACTGTATTGTTGGGAAACGTGCTAGTTTTAAAAACTTTTCGAATGATTTAAATTCATAGATCTTGATTCATTACATAGAGACAAGTTTTATGCAAAAATAAAACATGATATATCATTCAATTAAAAAATTGAATACTTACATCAAGGTTTGAGTAAATCTTAGATCTCTCCTCTAAAGTGAATGTTCTCACTTATTATAGATCCCTTAGCAAGATGCATTCTCCTTGGATCTCCATCTTCTTGGTAATTGTTTTACCTTCATGAATCACTCATATACCTCCATGAATGACCTTGGAAAACTAGGCTTGTGGAAGCCTCCATTAGATGAGAACATAAACCCTAATTTTCTAGAGAGAGAAAATATATTCCTTTTTCCTTCTACTAAAAATCCCACCTAAAATATACATCGACCATGTATATTTATAGGCAACATAAAGGTAAAGAAAAGGAAACAACTAATCCTTCTCAATCTCTAATTCACATGTCCCAAATCTAATATGATTCCAATATCAAGTTGGGCTATGAGTGAGAATCTATTGGGCCTATTATTTTATTGGCTACAATGAATTAATAATTGGCCCGGTCCATGGAACCAATTCAATTAATTCATAAATTAATTTCTACTCCACTAAAAGAAATTAATTGAACTCTAATTAAATAATAAATAACCTCTAAGTCAATATTGCACTTTGACCCCTCTATGCATAATTAGTTATCGGATAAATAAAGTCATCAATCCGACTACTTAATTAATATATTTATTTTGGTACCTTTGATTATTTCTGCCTCGATCACAATAAAACATTTGTTTGACAAAAATAATAATTTAAATAAATAAATATATAATAAATCATTTTGTCTAAAAATACACGAAGGCCTTCGAATTTACTTTGTGATCAACCATAATCAATACAAAATAAATACAAGTAGCAATGATGCAAATATTGAAAATATAACCCTCTAACTATTAATTACAAAA